CATCATGAATCCCCAAAGCCATTTCGGTAATCCAGATGATATCATGAGGCTGCGTACTCCATTGAGTAGCGTCCTGTGGCTGCGTTCCGCTATGCCGTTGTGTTCCGGAGTGTCATGTACCGTAAGGCTACGTTTAGTGCCTAATCGTTCCAGGTATGCTGTGAATTCACCACTGAGAAATTCTCCCCCTCGATCAGAGTGGAGTTTCTTGACCGTTACGCCATATTGAGTTTGGAGACCAGTTTGGAGTATTACGTATTGAGCGAAAGCCTCATCTTTGCCCTTCATTAACGGTTCCTCCAACCAACTGGTGGCTTCGTCAATGACTGTCAATGCGTAGACATAATGATTTAGCGTCTGCACAGAAGCTGGTCCCCATACATCCATGTGAAATACATCACCGAATTTCTCCGCTCTCGGGGATATTCGAATTTTGGAGATTGGAAATCTCGCAGCTTTAGCAAGCATGCAAGTTCGGCATTCGGGTTCTTCCATCTGTTTAGGATCTAACTTGATCCCATGAACCTGGTTTGATTTGAACATATGTTTGACATAAGCATAGTTCTGGTGGCCAGCGATGCAGTGTGCTTCATAAAGCGAAACCATCCTGGCTGCCTTACCGGTATAGGCATATTCTGCACTCGGAATCTGGTAGAGACCATTTGTCTTGGGAACGATTCCAATCGTCTCCCCCTGTCTATTGATGATTTTAAGAGTTCCATCTTTAATTACCATCACATATCCTGCATCGTCGAGTTTACCCAATGATACAAGTGTGTTAGGTGTGTTGGGGCATAGGAGAGTGTTTTGGAGTGTAAGCGATTTCGAAATTCCATCCTCGTTGATTGGAAGATCGATCTGGAGATTTCCGGCAGTGTTGGATGTGAAGGTCTCTGCGTTAGCTGCCTGGATAATTCGGGTAGGGACACTCCGCGTGTTGCGAAGTTTGTCCTGAAGTGAAGTCATGTGGGATGAGCATCCTGAGTCAAACAGAATTGCTCCGCTGCTGTGAGATGCTACGAAAGCTGTCTCGTAACTACTAGCAATTTCGGAGAAATTAAATATTTCCTGTGACGTAGTTGTGGTAACTTCCACGGCTGCCCACGATGACTCGGGTACTTCCTCAATGGTGGCTGAGGATCCCACTTCTTTATTCTTTGATCTCCAACTATTACTGCTGCTTCCAGACGGTTGGGTTTTCTCCTTCTTCTGAGAACTGTCTTGGGCTTTGTTGGCCTGTTGTCGCTTCGGTGAACTGCATTTATTAGCGAAATGCCCTTTTCCACCGCAATTGTAGCACATGGAATTGTTCGAGTTTGGTCGACTTTGACCTCCTCCTCTATTACCATTTCCTCTGCCCCTGGACTGGCCTCTGAAGTTTCCACGATTTCGGTTAAATCCACCCCTGCCGCGGTTGGAATTTCCACCGGCATAGTTTGCAGATTCCTTCTTTCCAGACTGTCCTTGGGTATGACCAGATGCTTCAGCACGTATTGTCGAAACTAGCTCCCTTGTGGTCAGTGGGACTGAAGTCCTTGCTGCAACCACTACCAATGCGTTAATTGTTGGTTTGAATATGTTTGGGATGGAAGCAATGATCATGTTATTGAACATTTCCTCGGGAATGGTGATTTTCCGCGCCTCCAAACTGTCTCTGATTTCCAACAATTTATCCAAATGCTCATTAACCTTTGATGGTTCATGGCAGTGCATGGAATGAAGCTGTTGTTGTAAGTGCGCTTCAGTGAGAGCACTTTTCGAATCAAAATCACTCAGCAGATTTTTCCATAGATCAAACACGTTTTCGTAATTCTTGTATCGCCTATAGATCTGGTCTGATAGGCGGCCCACAATGGCATTTAATAAATTTCCATCGTCGTCTTTCTTGGCTTCCCATGCTTCAGTGTTATCTTTTGGATTAGATGTGAGGTGATCTGAAAATCCAATTGATTGGGTGGCTAGCTCCACTCGATTCTTCCACGTGTCCCAGTTAGATCCATCACTTTTAAGCGTAGATACCTTGTCAAAGGCTTTGAATACTTTAGACATATTGTCGTCGTCGTCGTCACTTTCTGGATCTGATACTTCTGCTCCTGGATCTGGGTCTTCTGGATCTGGTGGAGGTGGTGAAGATATTGGTGATGAGGGTCGGTCTAGTACTGGGCTAGGTGGTGGTGGGAATACAGGATATTCTGGTTCTGGAGCTGGTGCTGCTTCTGGCATACCCTCTGGTTTCTGGGATGATGATGATGCGACCTGCTCTGGGGGTGCTCCTCGTCCAAGTATAAGGTCTTCTTGCTTTCTGTCGATAAGTCTAGCAAAGCCGGGGATATAACCAGTTGTTATTTTGTCGTATCTATTCGGACAAGGTTGATCTTTGCAAACTCTGTATTTGTTGCCGTCGGGATCGTGATACCGATCCTTGACGTCGTCTTTATCGAAGATATGCTCCCTATGAGCACAAGCTGCAGTTGGCTTGGTTGGACGGTTATCGGCTTTGCGAGGAGGGTTAGTCCTTAATGACATAAATCAATGTCTGCACCGTATTTCTTGTTTATTTAGGTTAGGGCAGGGCCCATAACCTGTTGGAATATAATCACGTTATATTCAGCAGCAATGGCAGCAAGAGATAGAGTGCACACAGCACTGTAGTTGATCACACAGATCAAACGATGAAGGAGTAGAGAGAACTGCTTATTCGACAAGACGAATACTACAGGTTTATATACAAGTCCAAGGTAGACGATGTCATGTTACAGCTAAACATAGCGAGAGAGAAAGGAAGTACAATACGATGTATCCTACTGGTAGTCCTATAGTAATAGTACACGATGGTGGGATTGATAACACGGCGGTGAGACTGATAACACGATAGTGAGATAGTGGTTTGTAACAAGAGAACAATGTTCCATAGATGGTATGTGAGTCATCAAATGTTAACACCTTGTACATTTGATTGGGATAAATCCTGAGGGTCCAGCAGTGCAACAGGTGAGAATCCCCCTGCACCAATTTGGGAGCTCTATGGGGCCTTAGTAGCATTGTCAGTCCAGGTTTGGGTGTACACCAGTGTGAAGACCCTATTGGGAGGAAACCATAGAAAGTCATAGTCAGTGCACTTGCTGGAAAAACCCCGATGGTGACCAATAAGTGGTGGGCCTCACAAGAGAACCCTTTAACTTGGCAGATATGAAGAATTTCAATACATACTACACAAGGTATCAGATGATATATGCTTACCAGACATACTAGGGACAAAAGAAGCCATTGAAGTACTGACCAAATTCCTTGAACAGAGTGGAGCCTTCACTAAAACAGGCATGCACCACACAACAAATATAGAACCTGCTCATGTGCCACTAGGAATTGGGGAGGAACTTGACACCATCTTCTGCAACCTAGATGGAGCAGAAGTCACCCTTGAAGCAGACTGGCATGAAGAGGTTGTAGATTCTGATGACCTAGAAACAGCAGAAAAATAACCAACCAATCATTCCACCTGCACACACAAAACCTGGGACCATTGGTGCATTGAGGTCGCTCCTCGACAGCGTGGGTTTGGCTTCGGGGTGCAGGAGAAGCACTCTGGCAGCTGCCCAAGTCCAGTAAGAGCCAATACAGGCCACAGCGCAGTTATGCCTGCAATGGGGACTTGGTTTACCCTGATGGTCTTTCTCCCTCAAGTTCAGGCAAAGTGTGGAGCATGTTCCTTTCCTTTTTCTTCTTTCTTTCTCCCTATCTATCTCTATGCTTGAGGCCTGCAAGGCCGAACATGTATAATTACACTACAACACCAATCACAACATCCCCATGACCTATAGCTACATCATCCCACACAGACATACAATCATGACTTGTTAAGATCATGTACACCGTGTAACCGTGCCAGAGGCCACAAGGTGTCTAAGGGCGGAGGGTCGAATGGGACAGTAGTGAAGTTATTAACAACACTGCTGTTACACCGCTAGTCCCCGGAGATCGAGAGTAGAGAAGACAAGAGTCAGAAGCAGCCAAGTCGGAGCAAACCAAAGAACTTATAAGTCCTAAGGTCAGAGTAAGAAGTACTTTGAGGCGACGAGCCTGAAGACTAGAGAGTGACAAGAGCACAGAGGAAGTCTCAAGTCGAGGATGTTAAGAGGATAATCTAAGTTGATAATTAAACTGAGGAACTACAGTATAGTACAGGCAGTATTTATATCTACGGATCGGCACATCGGAGCGGAGTGCCAGACTAACTACTAGGAGCTATACAAGTAGTACCTGCAGGGTAGAGAAAAAGACAATAAGGAGAGACTAGAATGAATGGGTATGTGTAGCGAGAAAGAACAATAAATGGTGGATCTCGGACTACCGAGCGGCGGAACGGGGCAGCGAGGGATGGATTTGACATGACCGAGAATGACAAACGGAGCCAAGGGAGAGTCTAGGGGCAGCCTAAGTAGTCGCTGCAGCTCCCCGCACCTTAGTACTAGCCTTACTTACTTGCAGTTAATGAAGAGTTCAAAAAAAAAAAAAACCTTGATTGGTGATGGCTAATATACTTGTATTGTAGATAGAAAAAGCAGCGCACGTAGGGTGTGCCGCATGTAGATGCATCTGCCCAACCTGTAGTCTCCAGCAGTAGTAGTACCGCACTAACTCAAAAAGTGAATGACCAAAAGGAGAGATATGACTAAAAACTGATGACAAGGGATGGCTAATTTTGAAAAAACTGGGTCTACTAAACCCTTCAACCTCTGAAGAGGTAGCGGAAATAACGACTTTTTGGACTGATAATGTTCTGGCAACACAAAAGTCCACTTTCTGAAATCATATTAGTGGGGAATGTTCATCTATTGAGTTAATTCATTGTGCCTATGTAGTCTGATTGCTTTCTAGTTGTGATATAAGTCATTCCGAAGCATAAGAAAATTTGAGTGTATAAAGGAGCCATAGATGACTGTATAGATCTCTCGAAGAGAAAAAGATATACTCCACTCCCCCCTTAGAACAGGAGAAAACTCCCTGGCTGGGAGTCGAACCCAGCTTTCGCGCGCACAAAGCTGATGACAGGCGCGTGTACTAACCGATATACTACCAGGGATATATTAAGAGTTCCAAAACATAGATGTTTCATGTTAATAGATCTGTTATGTAAACACTTTCCGTCGATACCTGTCCACTCCTGCCACATCTTTCACGATGGCGCCTACGTGCCCATCAGGTCTGATAACAATCACTATCCCCCCGGTGTCTTGACTCACAGCACCTTCAGAAGCTACAACGGCATTAGAGTCAACACCGCGCAAATACGACCCATACGCATGACCCTTCGTATCCAGGACTTCCACAACATCTCCTTCCTGTTTACCATCGATCAGAACCCGCTCGGTCGATCCCTGCGGATGAATCACGACAATCCTCATGGTGCCATTTGGGTAATTGGCCAATGCTCGAGAGAACTCTTGAATAGCCAGCGGGGACTTAAAAAACACTAAAGCGGTGTGTTTCGTCGTATCAAAAATCTCAAACAAGCTCGTTATTCCATCCGAAGAGTTTTCATGCAGAATCTTCAAATCAGGTGCCTCGGGAGCGCGGTCCCCTCCCCTGACCGGTTCCTCTGGGGACATCTTGTATGGGTCCAATACCTCCGCGGGAGGCGCCACTTCGTCAAGTACAATCGAGCTCCCTCGGTAGTTGATGCCAAACATACGCAACTCGAAGCCGCGAACGATGTTGTTGATCCCACTAGGTTGTTTCTTGTCAGGGGAATTCGTGGAGGTAGTTGTGGTGCTGATGGTGGTTTGGGCAGAATTAACCTCGATGTTGACAGTTTTATCCTCGTTCACTCCAAAGGCCTGCCTAAGCAACCTCGTTGTGACATTCAACATTGCTTTCACCACCCTCATTCTCTCTTCTGTGTATGATGCCATTAGTTTGTTCGAGGTCGACTTCCCCTTATGAACAAGGGAAAGCTTCCAACAAAGGTTGAATGCATCTTGAACACCGGAGTTAAGACCTTGTCCGCCAGTGGGAGAGTGGACGTGGGCCGCATCTGTGTGAGAGTTCAGCAAGAGGAAGAGGTAGAACGAAGATATGCAAACCTCCGGCGATCCACACTTTCCCTTTTCCGAAACTGTCAACCATTCGAATATTGGGTCTAACAGTAGACAATCATCGAAAATTAGAGGATGGATGGTACCAAGTCATGTCAAGAAAAGAAGTACTCACCGCCAAACTCCTATCCCAATAAGATCTCCAAATACCAAGTCCTTCCTTCCGCTCAGCTCATGAATCATATCTACTAACATATCCCTTCTTCCTTTGGTGTTTCCATCGCCCACGACCCCATTCAATTTGAAATTTTCAGTCGTGTACTCCACATCCTGGCTAGCAATCATGACCTGAACTCTTGTATCGCTTTTGGGTTGAGAAGGGGTGGAATGTTGAGCTGAGAATGCTGACATATAGGGACGAATCAGAAGTGATTTTTCGGCAAGGGCGCCCCATGCCTTGATATGCTGTTTATTAAGTCAGTTTAAAGATTTCCTCCGACCACAAACAAGGAAACGCGAAACTGTGCAGTGGGTCACGAGCGCAGAGTCAAGAACACAAAGCTACGTATCCCATTGAAGTTTCCGAGCTTAGGGAACGTCCACTCACATCGTCACCCCATCCATTCAGCAGATGAATATCAGCCAGTAACATTCCTCCTGCTTTCTTGATTGATTGTCCCAAGAAAGAACAACCCAAATGTTTACGAACTACGCTGTGGGCTCCATCTGCACCTATGAGCCAGTCAAATTTGGTCGTTTCGGTTTCGGTTTTGTGAGTTAAACTTTTGAGAAGAGTTGCCTCGACAGTGTCGGATCCTTGTTCGTACGAAATGAGCTCCGTGCCAAACTCGACTTGACAACCATAGTCTCTCAAAAGACAGGCACGGAAGATAGCTTCGTGATCCACTTGGGCGATGATACGGGTGCTGAGCTAATGTTGAATTTTGAGGGGAGAAATAAGATTACTGGAAGCAATTGAAAAGTTGGTTACTCACATAAGGTTTATCGACCTTCTCCTCCACCTTCTTCTTGGATTCATCCCAAAGAATGACCGGAGGCTCGCCATTATCTGGAGACGTATATTGATGGATGGATTGATGCGGACCAGAACCTGCCAGGATATCGTCGAGGACTCCAAGGAATTTATAGAGCTCGAGCGTGCGCGGCTGTTACATAGTCAGATTAGCAGTCAGCCATCGCAAGATGATAGATCAGCACTCACTTGAATACCTGGGCCTCGACAGCCAGTCCTAGGCTTAGTTTCCTTCGCGATGACCCGTACAGAGAGACCGTCGCGAAGGAGGAGGAGCGCAGAAACAAGTCCAACCGGACCGGCACCGACCTGTGTTTAACCCCCATTGATGATTGAGAAGGAAGACGACGAAATGGACGGGACGATGAACTCACGATCAAGACGTTCACGCGTTCCGCACTTGTAATCTTTGAGACCATATCGATTATACGAGGATGCGCAGTAGAGTTTGTCTGATAAAAACAACTCTTGAGATTTGCAAGCCATCCTGAGTCTTATATAGCAGTTAGACAACAAGGCAAGCAAGGAGTCCGGAGTTCTGACAGACATTCAACCTGCATTCAGCCGTGAATAGTACGAATGGAATATTACCTAATCATGAGTCTCTTCATTCAGCCGTGAACGAACCGAATCTATCCATTGCCGATTCCCTGCAAGCTGCAAACAATGACAATGAGGGAAAGGGTGTACATGTATTTGTCCGAAATTTGGAACCTGCATGAAGAGTATAACACAGCTAATTAGATAGATACAATACAGGCTTAAGTGAAGGCGCATAGTACCACCACTGGCATTTAGTAACATACACGTCCCCATCCAGACAATCCATACACCAAGAATGTCATTACAATCATAGCTCCCAGCGCCTTTTCCTTCGTGTTTATAGCCAATCTAGTTGTAATACCAGACGGAGGCCCCTTAGCACCTGCAGCGTCGATATCAGCAACTTCCTCCTTGGTCAAAGCAGCTGCTTTGAGGATTAGAAGAGGGTGTCGACGAATGGAATACAATATAAACTAACGCAAATCCGACACAGCAAGGTATTCTTCCATATGTGCTTTGGTGGTAGAGGTTCTGAAATTGAGAACGTCCGAAGATACGAGAATTTAGCAAATACGTGGAACCAGTATTTGAGAAACGTACGTGACGATAACCGCACCCTTCGCTTTGACCCACAAAAATACCACCTGAGTCGGTGTGGCACCAATTCTTTGAGCGGCAGCTTTGAGAGGCACGTCAACGGGCCCGCCAGGGTATGTAGTTATCGGTCTGCAATAAGCAACAACAATGAAGATAGAGGAAAGACGGTGTATGAATGGTGAAAGAAAACGTACGAGAGACTACTGTAAGCTTCCACTACAATTTTATGTTTGGCACATACATCCATGACGGGTTTCATTTTGTAGTAATTGTATGGATGTAACTCGATCTAGAAAGTGTGATATGGATGAGCTGGTAGAGAGTACACTGGATCTACCTGGTTCACTGCAGGCTTCACTTCGGAGTGTTTGATAAGGTCCTCGAGTTGCTGCACATCGACAACATTGCTGATGCCAATGCTCCTACAGCAACGAGCCAACAGGATAAACATCGTGCATGATAACAAAATCATCACCGTACTTGGCCAACCCGTCTTGTTGTACTTTCTCAAAATCTTTCCATGCTTTGACAATATCTGGAATGAATAGAGGTTGGTGAATGAGATATAGGTCCAAATATTGTAGTCCGAGCTAGTGAGTTTGAGGTTCGAGGAGGGCGAGAAGAATACGTCAGTTGTTTTATGTACAACGTATTAGGAAACTTACATTCGCCAAACTCTCTTTGACGCTCTTCTGAATCGGCACATCTCGAGGATACTTGGTCGTGATGAACAGCTCTGAACGCGCCAGCCCACTTTCTTTTATAGCTTTCCCAACGTATTTCTCGGTTTGATAAACTGAGTATGCAGCAAAGCAATGAGCAATTCAATCTTGGACAAGAGGATATTGAAGGTGGATAGGACGAGAAGAGATACACACATGCAGCAGTATCAATATGCGAGAACCCCAGTTCGATAGCCTGCTCGATGTACTGTGTAATATCGTGGTACTTCATCTTGGAGCCTGTGCCATACGCAATGGCTGGGATCTTGTAATAGCTTCAATTAAATGGCTATAGCCTTAGGCTACAACTCCGGAATCATTACCTTGTTTCCATCGTTCAACAGGATAGGTTCAAGAGGCATTTCCCCAAAATCGAGAGGCGGAGATGTACAGAGACGTAGAGAATGAGGTACAAGTCTGGCGCCTTACATTGGCTCAATGTTGCCATAAGAACTAAACCTGGAAAGGGGGGAGAAGCTCGATCGGGCCGAAAGATACGCTGATTAACGACCCTCAATCTAATCTTAAGGTCGGGACAGGCGGTGGGTCAGACTTATCGTACGAGGGAAATCGTTTGAGGAGGATCAAAGGGACTCAAGAAGCTTTTCGCCGAAACGGACTGGCTACAGATCACTGGAATGGCGTCGTCGATCGAGGAGTAGTAATAGGATAGTATTTCGACGTATGTGATCGATGTAGCTTACAGCCAAAAGCTGAAGATCTTTGGACTGCGTCGAATGGCTGTATACATCAAGAATGAGGTTCAGGTTCTCGAATTACGGATTTCGTCAAAGATTTCTCTGATACCGATACCCTCACAATCTGATGCTTCTCTTTGTAAACCTCGAACATCCCTCTTCCTAATCATGCCAAATACCCCTTCATCTATATCCTGTAATAGCGATAAATTGATCAGCACATCTATTTACATAGATAGTTTGTGCATACACAGTTATTCTGAGAACGAAATGCTCTCTGATCACAGATTGTCGTGTTTTTGCAGTTATCGGTGTCGTCACAGGGTACGACATCTCCGCCTCGACTGAGGAAGGTGTTGAACAGCTGAAATGCCGTATCGTTGGCTGCGAATACCTCAGTAAGGTTATGCCAGAATGCTGGTGTGAGTTCCGATGTGGCTGGGAGCCCGACGAGAGGGCCGTAAGTTTCTCGTGCATCGTAGTAGAGCGTCCAAGTAGCTTGTGATAGTTAGTTGGATTCAATCCATTGGCAACAGGGAAGTATTTACGATCTGTTTGGAAAGAAGGATCCGACATGTTTGCTGCAAGAAATGTGAGTAAAACACTCCACGCAGACGGACTGCAAGATCTATCTACATACCAAAGATGACGCGGATATTCATGATACCCAGAGTATCAGGATCAACATCATACACCTTGAATGCAGGATTTCCGCCTGAAAGTTCATGTGGATTCAAACAAAATTCCCATCAAGTCGGGAGACCTACTGGTGGGAGTGAGCGCAGGACACTGTAGTATCAAGGAACGGATTAGCAGGAACGATGATAAATGACAGAATATAAGTTCGTACTATGAGACCCACGCCAACTGCGTTTGCTGCCGTTTGGTTGCTGTAATCCGAGTATGCAATTTCGAACTGATCCTAAAAAGAATGATAACCGCAACGTTCGCGAGATTAGATTCCCAAGATTTAGACTCACTTTGTGACTGTGGCCGAAGAACTGTCCTACAATTATATCTTTGTATCTTTGCAAAATTTGGTCATAATAGTTCGACTGTCATTTATCCATGAGGTATCTGGGAAACCAGTTGCATGCCTACTGACCTGATCTTCGATAATATCGGCCTTCCCAAGAGGTATATGGCCAATGACCCAAACCTTCTGACCAGCATTTTCTGCTGCTTGGAGTTGCTCAACCATGAAAGAGAATATTCCATTAGGGTCCGGCCTTTGGAAGAAGTATGTTAGCATAGCACATCTTGATCTCAAGATCCCTACTGGAAAATATCACTGTCATAAACCCAGAGACTGAATTTTGACCCTGATACTCAGTATCTTTCATTTCTTGATGAAGAACAATGCGTACTTTTGCCTATACCAGTATTGAGTGTTCACGGACAGGATACTACACCAATGTAGGTCAGCCACACGAGAGCATGTGTTGCTGGACTTTCAAATCACATACACTAGGTTCATACCGGGCACAGTGGCTGCATAACTGCCCGAGATGTGGTCGACTTGTTGACTAGCCGCGTTACCAATCCAATGCTTTCCGGACAGTGATATCAGCGGTCGATAAGATCTCATGAGTATGGTATGCCCATCTCACCTCCCAACCTGCGCTTTGAGTATCAAAAACCCACTGAACATCAAGAGTGGTGTCAGTAGTGTTTCGAGGAAACGAGTTCACTGGTGTGGAGTCGCTTCGAACCAATCTTTAAGCACACGTGTAAACATGAGAAAGACGGCTTACTGATTTCCTGCAAACAAGAATTACTTTACACGTCGAAAATCGCAAGCAGAATACTACACACCAATGGCAGGGAATATCGGGGCGGTGATTTTTGATAACATCTCCGCATTGAAGTCAATGAGATCGGATGTTACTTCGCTGGAACGAGTATACACACTGAACAGCAGAGAATGCAAGAAGAGAAGCGGGAACTTACTCTTGAGTGGTCAACCAAATGGCGCCTAGGTGTAGGGAGTATGACTGATCAGTCAATCAAAAAGGCGGCGAGAAGCAAATACTTACCTTCAACGACATCTCCAGTAAAAATAACAAATTGAGCATCGAAGCTATTTACAGCCTCGAGCATCGAGTCTGCCAAAGATACTGGCGAATCGCACTTCGAGTTCCCGAAAGGCAACGCAGGATCTGTGACCGGCTCCCCCGCCTCGTCTGCAAAATCCCTGCAACAAATGTTCTGCAAATCCCGATCAATGGCTGAAATTTGCATCTGTAAGAATATAGACAAGATACCTTGGTGCAATCCGCCTCAGAGCCGACCTGCATTTTTTTAAGATCTCTAATCAAGGATAGTAATGCTGCTTGCAACGCACCGTGTATTCCCTATCAATATGAACATCACTTATGTGAACGACCTGAAAAGGTGTCTTGCGCACTGTTGGCATGCTCGGTGGAGTGACTGCCGTTGCAGACGGAGAGGGGAGGGGCACCGTGAATGGATTAGGTGTTTTCGAAGCACAAAAACCAAAAAGGGCGTCACAGAGACGATTAGCAGTCTGTCCACTAACGTCGATGCTGCGAAGATCATGGGCAATAATTGGTCCTAGCCTTGACATTAGTCCACTACAGACATCAGGATCTTCCAGCTTGTAGTAGAAAGGGGTCAGGGATAGTATTTGAGAAAAGAAGGGATTGACTTTACTTGAGCAACATCACAGACAGTGATGAACGTGTCCGAAAATGGGTCATTTCCTAGATGAGCGAGGGCTTGAAGTGGAATCAGTGCAACAAGGCAAGTCGCGCAGTCGACGATGCTTTCAAAGATACTCAATATCTGAGACACATTCTGTCCAACGACACGACCTGAAAAGATCGATAGTATTGTTGTCAGACTCCAAAGCGAATACCGCCGGTTGAAAAGCATATTTGAGCCAGGAATATCGAGATGTTCTTGGTATCTTATATCACCTTCATGCACAGACTCTCAGGCCCCATATGATAGAGCACCACATTGTACGCAAGAATCGGAAGGGAACAGGGGATTTTTGTGCCTTGAGACGTTGTGCACCACCACCTCAAGTGAATATCAGGTGAGCATATCAATTGATGGAATAAGTTCTTCCCTATTCTCAAGGCAATTACTATTCATAAGTTTCGAGACGGAACCGCATTCTCACCTGCTTAGTGTATATATAGCAAAGGATTATGGATACCATAAATTGCTCATTGACCGCATGGTACCCAGAGCAAACGTTTGACTGGGGGATTTACTATGTATGATACCATTGATAGAGCCCTCGTTCACAGATATAAAGAGGCTAGGTCAATTATTTAGAATCTGTGACCGAGTATGACCACTCGTAACGAGCGATGAATTGAGTGAATAACTCGGCAGGGTATGGTGTACCCTTCGTTCTTTTCTGATTGACTGTCGATGCAACGTGCTTATGCTTGTTTATGCAGATTTAGACAAGTGACAGAGGATGGACCGATACACCTGAAAAAGCTCGTTCCATAAACAAGACAGGTACTAATCGGCACTCAAAGATACCTATCAGCGATGCCTATTATCAGCGATGCTTATTTTGAGTCGACCTGATCTCTACGACGCTCTGAGTCCCTATTTCGTGGCAGGGCTAAGGAATGGTTTAGTATTATCTTCGAATTAGGCAAGGTGCAAATAATCATCCGTGGGGTTAAAAAGCTTGTTCGAGCGCTTACTTAGCGCCTACTACGTTGTTTTCTTTTCACAAGCTTGTCACAAGGATTTCGAGAGGGGTGGCAGGCTCACAAGATTCTGGATGGAAAACAAATTATGTAGAGGTTCGAAATGAGAGTTTTCGGCAAATTAATCGAGCCCGACATGGTCCCTATGCCTCTCATTGTCTTTTTTCTTTTTATACTGGCGCATGTAGAACAGTGTCACCATCACTTCATCCGCTATGTGCAACGCTTGTGGGTAGATGGATATATTCCTCCTGTCATATCGAGCAACCAGAGTATGTGTTCCATCCTGTGTGAGTAGCTGTGACAGTGTAAGGGCACGCAATTCAGTGGTTCATATTTTCAGGAACAATGCTGGATTAGAGAGCATACCTCCCACACTTCGTGACTATGGAATTTCCATTTGTACGCCCGTCCATCCGAAGCAATGAATTCCTTAGACTCACTTACATTGCAGAATTTAGATGATTAGATTTGGAGATGGGATTTAACTCACCTAAAGTGGCTCGATTCGCGAGCTCGCTGTGGGAGAAAGCTTCTACCTCTGATCTCCACGATGTTATCATGAAAGCCGTGGAACTCTATGAAGCCAATAGGTTCCCGGTAAGGTCCCTTGAATATCGTGCTGCGCTCGTGGTGGAGCTGTAATATCTTGGAAGGAGTCTCGATGATATATGCAATGAGGTTGTCGGATCGATGAAGAATGGTATTGTCTTTTGTGCTGTGTTCGGTCGCGTAGAAGTCGGTCATGATTTGAGCAACAGAAAACAACGAAAAACAACGGAGTGGAGTCAAGAATACCTGTGTAGTACTTATATCTCTGAGCATTTCAGGAAGTATGGGTAATTATTCAACCTGATCGATAGGATATCGGTACCTGTCGCTCATTAAGTTGTTTTGGTGCCCCGTCGCAAAGCGACGCAGGCCATATGTACACCAGATTCGGTGCTATTCGGTGTCGGTTAATCCTGTTTATGTCATTCCATTGTGCACAGGTCTATGTACATGATCTTGGTAGCTCCAGATAGATGGTCTCCTGCGGACTAAGTTGTTCGTTCTATGGATAAAACAGTATAGCAAGTTAAAGAAATGTGGTCAGAGGTGGTTACATAGATAGATACGTACTCTCGACAACATCTGAACATTGTCGGTGTTCCTGGAAACCTTCCCAGTATAGGCCTTTACTCTCCTGCGGCGAACAGGAAACAAGGTATTCTACCTTGAGACAGACTTTTGATATTTATTCAGCATTGCGTGCAGCACTCCTGTGACTGGTCATCTGAATCATTTCTGGGGCATGTCGGAATGACTAGAGTTAAGAGGGAGGGAAGAAGGGTATAAGAGGGGGGTGGTGGATAATGCTAGGAGAGACTCAAATCGAAAGGGAACAATTTACATAAAGCTTCCGGTGTTACGCTTGAAGTTGTAGAGCATCGTTTTCAGTCGAGCACGAATGGATCGACAGAATTAATTGCAAGATGAAGGAGGCTCTGAAGCTAAAGCTGGTATGTAACATGTTGTAAATGTGTGAATCATCAACTATTGAGTCCTGCAATAATTCCGTTGTTGACTATTGCCTCATCATCTTCTTTCTTTTTATATTGGCGCATGTAGAACAGTGTCACGATCACTTCGTCTGCTATGTGCAACGCCTGTGGGTAGATAGAAATGGCTTTCCGGTCGTATCGAGCAACGAGAGTATGCGATCCATCTTGTGTAAGTAGCTGTAACGGCGTAAGACGTGTCATTGAATAAACACTAAGCATCGAGAAGCGTACCTCCCACACTCCATGACTATGGTGTTTCCACTTGTACGCCAGCCCATCTGAGGCAATGAACTCTTTGGAATCACTTTTCGAGAACACGGTCATAAGCATTCAGAGACTCAGAGGTGAGTGTGCGGGGTGTGGTCTGACTGACCTAAAGTGGCTTGTCTCGTGCGCTCGATGCGGGAGAAAGCTTCTACCTCTGATTTCGACGATATCATCATGAAATTCATGAAATTCTATGAAGCCGATGGGTTCCCGGTAAGGTCCCTTGTAAATTGTGCTTCGTTCGTGATGTAAAATTCTAGAAGGAGTCTCGACGATATACGCAATGAGGTTGTCTCGTCGATGGAGGATGGTGTTGTTCTTTGTGCTGTCTTCTGTCGTGTAGAGGTCGGCCATTATTCTCCAACTGTCGAGCAATGGATTCGTATTCCGGGTTGTCGAAGGATTTGAAGACCAGCTGGTTGATGGAGCGCGGTTTTGTAATTCAACAGAATTTCCGGAGTTACCAGATCGGTCGATGGACTGTCAGCGAACCGCCTCTTCATTGGAGTCTTCAACTTCAATGGGCGCATGTTTTCGGTCACCGATGTATTGAGTGTATTGAGCAAGTATTGAGTACACGACAATTGCAGTGAAACGAAGTATGTAGGAGCCGCTGCACGTGCTGCGGTGCCCAGATAGCGCCCATTTACTCAGACTGCACCGACATACTAGATAGCGTGAATAGAAGCATAGAATCCATAGATGTTGCATCTGGGAGGCTAGCTCTGACCCCAAATCAGCACAGCACTGTCATGTCTCCAGATCTTTCATTCATTGCAGCTCCTATGGTCAATCAATCAGACTTTCCATTTCGCCGTATCGCTGCCCGATACGGTGCAACAACTGTTTACACACAAATGCTATCACCAGAACGACTAATCCACGACCAAGAATATCTCGAATCCCATCGCAGGGACTTGCAATATCGCGTCGAAGAGTCAGTCTCTACAGTGGTACAACTCTGTGGTAATAATGCAGAGGAGATCGTCGAAGCAGGCAGGAAGATTCAAGACCTTTGCGATGCAATCGGTGCGCTTCTATCATTCTCTTGTTTTCGTCCGCCGTAACATTTCATGAAAGGAAGTAGATCTGAACTTGGGCTGTCCTCAAGAAGTAGCCAGAGATGAGCATTTCGGAGCATACTTGTTAGGACAAAAAGACTGGCCCATCGTTGAGAATATCGGTAAGTCGTTTCCAAGTTGTTTTCATATATCACTGTTTTTTAAGCTGTCGAATACAGTATCTTGCATGGCTCAGTCGTTCATGGTTCCCGTTTCGACAAAGATCAGACTTTGCCAACCATCCACTAAAACTGTCGAGTTTGCGGAACGACTTCAGGCATCAGGATCTTCTTGGATCACACTGCATGCGCGTACGGTATCATCACGCCGCCGTAGACAAGGAGCTGCAGACCTGTCCGAGGTCAAGAAACTAAAGGAATCCGAGAGGCTCACCATTCCCGTTGTCAGCAACGGTAACGTTCGGGTATTTGATGATCTCGCAAAGAACCTCGATTACACTGGCGCTGACGGTTTGATGGTTGGAGAAACACTTTTGGGTAATCCTTGGTGAGCACTTGTGACCGCGTGAAGGTTGGCCTGGTTTAATTATAAAACAACTATTGTGTAGCCTATTTTCGAATGATGCTCTTCCTGATCCTGTGGATATCTCTCTCGAATACTTGGATATCTGCCGTCTATACCCGGGAGTAGCAACTTTGAAAACTATTCAAACCCATATCCGCCATTTCATAGATTTCCAATGGTAAATCTTTCTCTGTAATTCTACTTACGACGTTTGAGGAATATGTTTGTTCAGTACACGCCGGCCTTGGTTCAAGAAACTACGTGTCGCGTTGAATGCATGTACAGACTTGGATGATATCGAGCATCTGTTACGGGTCAAGGTCCCACGATGGCGAGACATGACTATGAAATCCGCTAAAGAGGGTTCGGAAGATGAACGGGATGGTATCGATATGGAAGATTCTGGCGTATTGTGGCCTCTTCCCCCAAATTAGAGTCCCCAATCTATTTGTTTTCATCTTGCCTGATTTTCGTTAAAAATTTCATACGTGATGAAGATCCTTGTTTCTGTATCAGTAGCACGGCAGTAATTACAAATTTTACTCCAATAAAGCCACTTCCCTCATCTGGCACATGCGGACGACATCGTTCTCATCTCTTGGGGACACCGGGCCCGGAACTTTCGAAACCTGGTGTCACGCAGTTGTGCCCTCCTGGTAAGCGCTGGAAAATGGTTATGCACTTTAGTCGACTTCCAGATGTCCTTCCCCATCGCAACATCTTCGCTTTCTATTATACTGAATGCGCAATTACGGCCTCATATTATGTCAAACTTATCCTGTTCAACTGGTCTCACTTCCTCAACACTGGGTTTGATCATATCTTGGATGATGTATTGGAGACTGATATGATAGTGATGACATGGATAATGTACAATACTCCCTCCATTCTCACTGTAGTCTACCATCCCATGCAGGGATGAGCACTCGCTGCAGAGAGATGGATAGGCCCGGCTGTTTCCTTGGAGGACCCATCCGAGACGGAGCCACGTATCTATCTATCTATCTTTCGTGTCAGGTAACTTCACCATTGGCGCGCAGCGCCCTCGGATTTCTATCCCCGGTCGAGAGAAGGTTTCACTGGTACTGTAAGAATTCAATCTGATGACCAGTCATCATTCGAACCAGAACCCGAGTCCGAGTTTGAGCCATCGTCCGAGCCATTATCCGAGTCCGAGCCATTGTCCGTGTCATCGCCCGAGCTACTGTTATCAGTGCTGCTACTGCCATCGCTGTCAACGTATTCCCAGGTGACTGAAAAGGGAGCAACCGGTGAGCTATAATTTTGACAATAGGCACAAGACGACAACATACTAGGTACTTCACCTTCATCAATGGTCGCGATCTGAGTGAAAGCACCTTGGGACAGGTCGATAGAGTTCTCATTATTGCATGTAGGGCAGTCATCAGCAACTTGCACTGTCACAGTCTACAGAAAATCAGGTTACAGTGCGTGAGCTTGTGGAATCGGGCAAGTTAGACAGATTGGAATGAACCTTCTGGTTTAAGATGTTCGTGATCTTGACATACTTTCCACAGAGCGGAGATACGTCGCCGGAATCACCATAACGAGTTTGGTCCATTGCTGCGATGAAATCCGAATCCGAGTGTACCTATGAAGATGTAAATGCCTATTCCCACAGGAGGGGATCAATGGCGTTACCGTTCCACATGCCCCCGCAACTCCGTTTTGCAAAAAGTACGTCGCACTTGAGTGTGAAAGAAAAGGTTAAGCATTGGCATACTCAAGAGTGAAAATTTTTGCTAACTTTCCACCAGTAAAGACTTCACGAGCCTGAATGGACCTGAAAGTGTTCCGCAAGTGGCCAGGAATGGGCGCAGATCGTACGCTGACGCAAATCAAAAAGAAAGCGAGGAACGATGAGACAAATAACACTTTGAACATGATTGCAAGCGAGATTCGAGGCGGATAAAACGTGAAGGAACCGTGGACGAGGGGAGGGGTGTCTTCGACCGGCGAAGCTGAGGATTCCTGAATATCATTGGCATCTCTCTCCTCTTATATATGTGTTTTTCTAACCCCGCGCGTCGCATATATATCGCATCAATCGATGATACGAGACCTGACAGTTTCTGACCCAGCTCCGAGCTTCCAAATGCCGCCCATCATTTTGAATCCCTGTTTCGAATTTCTGATGGTGGTACCCGGCTTGCTAAACTCCCTTCAATGCTCCAGAATGCCCAGTGCTATGTACTTAGACAGACCCGGCTGTTCCGATTTCCCTTCTCTTCTCTACCGTAGATTCAGACAGTATACATATCTCGAAGACTCATGAATAAATAACTCGTGAAGGAATGGGTAAATACTATCTATCCTTGATTATGATCCCTCTCCTCGTACACACACATTTTCCATTACTGAGGGGTGGACGTGAGACGTTACTGCCGGGAAAAGCAATACAGAACGTCCCGTAACCGAAACTAAGAACAAATCTGCAATAAATCTATTGAAATCTACATATATATTATCCGACTGAAATCAAACACACCATTTTCGAATGTTGCCTGAACATACATTTTCAAGACAGACGAGCGGGATGAATGGTAGAAGCAATTCACAGTCAGATAAGCGGGTATTGCTGAGTGGAGTAGCAGATCATGGCAGATTTGTTCCCTCACCACTCGTTCTATCTCATCATAATTACAAACCTCTCGTGTATCCACAAAGGTCAGAGTCAACGCCTCGAGTTTTGGAAGGTATCTGCCAATTAGCTTGATAAATCCCGCCTGAAAGTAAAGCTATCTATCAGTAGTTTCAAGGAAAGCGCATCACAGACTGATGTATACCTCTAAAGATTCGGTGTTGACATTGCATGCCAGCATGATGAGGTTTGTGCATGCCTTGAAGATACGCTCGTAAGTGATGATGGGAAGCGCGAAATCCAGCCACCTAGAAGACCGATCACGCTTCATCCGGCTCCTGCCATCGAACTCCAGAGCCTCGAGATTTTCGCCTCGATTTTCCAAGCACTCGATAAGTCGTTCTTCGATGTCTGTTTGTAGAAATTCGCCGTGATTGAAATGAAGGGTATAAAATCTACCAGCTCGCATGTCCGCACACAGCGTCAAATAGTCGTTCAAAAGTCCTCTATAGCCAGCAAGCTTGGGGAGATCGTCTGAGCTCAACGGTCCTTTGATCAAACTGTAGCCACTGTCGACGGTGGACATGTCACAATGAAGATAAACGAGCAGGGAGTGCCGCCGGAGGAAAGGAGCAATATCAAGATCTTCGACTGCATCGAGGAGGCCCCAATGGATTCTGATTGTGAATGAAGAGAGCTTGGGGAAGTAAATTTCGCTTAATGTCTTATTCAGAGTAGAGACGATAACTTCGTCGGCCTCATCGTCTGGGGGCCCGGGTACCGCGAAGTCCAGCACCTGTAAGTTGAAGGCAGAATAGTGTATTTGATGAAGAATCGTTGAACTGTGGTGTGCGGAAAGTGCTGGACCATAATGAGTTCGTTCAATACATATGTTTGAAACTCAGCAATACACACGGGTTTCTCCAGTGGCGTCGTCGCCGACAAAGAAGACTAGGTGTTGAAGGCAGGGTTTGAGCATTTTTTCCTGAGTGATAAGTTAACGCTCAAGTGCTTACAAGGCACAGTCAATCAGAATACTTACCAGAATGCCACACCATTCGTCAACACATTCTTTCGAATCGGGTGGAGGCAAGCACTTGATGGAAATCATCTCGAATGAGAATGGAGTAAAGTCAATGTCTTTGAAGAGTTGCAAAAAGGTAGCAGAGCAATTGATCGCCAGAGTCGTTAATGCTGGGGTCTTTCTATCTCTGCCCATTCGGGCATGTTCGATAATATTCGAAAATGCTTGCCGGAAAGCCTCTTCGAAGAGCAATGATTTCGTCCAATCATTACGTTCCGGAAGTCCGAAGTCAAGTTCAAGGTGTTTTACGAACGCCGCAGGGTGGGGAGCTTTGGCGATCTGCCCGCGATTGTCCTTGGACAATGCTAGAGTATTCAAGGCATCAGGATGAGAAACTTCTTCATAGAGGATTGTATTGATAAGAATGAACGCATGTCGGTTTAATTCCGCGAAGTTCTTGAGACTGGCAGGATCACCAAGGAGTTGTACTCCAATGAGCAACCAAATTTCGGGAGGAAGGTTAAGGAGACCCGGTCTTCCGCATACTGAGAGCATGTTATTGGCGATGGAGGTTGAGCTTTGGTCGGGGAATAAACTGAGAGTGATATGGTTGTATTTGGGAACTTAAACGCTTGAGGTGGGTGGCCAATTTAAGCCTAAATAAGAGCGCTGACCAGAAACTATTGTCCTGTAAACGTCCAAGAATTGTCATTATTACCAGTTGCCATACTTTGAAAGCAAAGTAACATTCTCCTTAGGAGCGTGACTATACCAATGATGAAACCGAGGAAAAGGTGCCTCATACGAGTACAAACCCACATATTAAGAGAATCTGTTCAACCTGAACATGAATTAGGCAGTGAAATTTCACTAGAAGTTGAACGACACAAACTTACAACGGTCTTTTAGGGTCTTTTCAATGTTCGCGGCGGTCTTTACCAGACGTAACACGCCAAAAGCTTAAGCTCGGACCAGGTTCCTTGTGTGAAGAGATAGAGAGACCAGGCACAACGATAACATTTGAAACTGTATTGTGTTTGCAGACCTGCCTCAATGTAGGATGCATAGAATCGATTGAAGGAACGTTATAACAGCAAAAGAGCCTGAGAAAACTTTGTTCGCGCAGTGGGGCGCTAAATTTCATTTAGTACGAGTGTTCGCGCTTGACTTCCATCTTCAATCAACGATCCATGTCGCGGTATAGTGCCTCGAATCATATACCTTCCAGAGCACATTTGACGCCTCAGATACATAATGGTCAAACCTTTCTTGTCCCACAAGCAACCGGAACAGTGGCTCAACCGTCCAGTTACTATCCCCCTCCTCAACCCAACACTACTGATTTATTGGCGCATAGAATTATGGATGCGATCGCTCCAATACTCAATGCTCACCAGGCGGGCACAATGTCGCGCCTGGAAAATTTTGAACAGGCTATTCGTGGTGTTCTGGAGCCGTTGGAGAACAATGTAAAAAATGTGGAGAAGAGCCAGGCCTCAATCCAGAAGACTATCTTTGAAAGTAGCAATGCTCTTCAGGAGACTCTCATCGCTCAAACTAAATCATTGAAGAACATTATCAGTCGTGTTCATGTTTTGGAACTCGTTATTGGAAAAGGCGACGAGACGAGCTCAATTGCAGATAAAGTTGATGCGATTAATTATTCAATGGGAGAGTTTCTTGAGCGAGCTCTGGATCCATACGCACCTATCGGTTAGCCTTATGGAACTCTTTGAGCCCACCTTATCTTTGATCACATCTTCATCATCAGAACCCATTCAGAAACATGATGTAGGAACGAGCCCTGTGAGGGAAACAAGGCCTTTGACTCCGTCAGAACCGACATTCTCAAGGTCTTCCATTGACTCATTGCCGGTGCATGCTGCCCGCAAGGACAAAACACTGGAGTCAAAATGCAGTGGTTCTTCCTCCCAGCAAGGTAGACACAGTATTGTCATGGTGTTATCAATGTCCTCTTCTCATTTGGACGTCTAGTCAGACACGAAAGGGGCGTAAGCCCTATCAAACCCGCAAACCCAAGTGAGCCTGTCATAAACTCGTAGCTTTCCTCTTTGTTCTAATCTACGCCGTTGGTCGACTTAGCTCGTGTATATCATGACAATGCCACTAGTCCCATCGCGATTCCAGCATGCCTTCGGCGCCCCAATACATTAGAAACCAGAGATACAGATATGAATGTATACACCGAAGCATCGTCGCAGTCTCCTCAATCGTCAACCACTTCATTTCCATTGACCGCTGTTGATTGGAGTATGTGTAGCAAGTGCATTTCTCCTCGCTCTAATCATCATTCTCTGATATATTCTGTAGCTCCTGGAGATCCCAACCCTGTCGCGGCTGCTCAGGCAGATTTCTTTACACCTGATCTCTCTCCTGAAGGACGAAGGGGTTATAGCAGTCTCTCAAACTGGGATAGTACCCACCCCAATGAATCTCTTGCCGAAATACCATCGCCTCGCGGTTCACACGTCCCATCTTCTCGAACTCCTTCGCCTATCCCACCCCGTGATGCGCCGTTCCCCACACCACCCAATGACAATCCCCCATCGACTCCTGCTGTTTCCAGTACGATGAAAGACAACTTAACAAATCGGGACATTGCGTTGCTCGCCGAAAGTCCGCCTACCGCAACCAGAACAGCCAAAATTCACACCGATGGCTCGCCCTCTCCTTCTGTTCTCGACGAAGCCTTCGTCCTTCAAATGGTCAATTCCCCTGGCTCTTCGATGCATGACACAAAGTCGTCTAAATCTATGGCATTGGATATAGACCAAGAAACTAATGAAGGACAAGTCCACCCTTCAGCAGTTTCAAGTCAATATACGCATAATACAATATCGTTACCAGTGGTGTCAGCATCATTTTCCGCTACTCTCGACGACGAGCTTTCAGATTTGACGAGTATTAGTGATTCCAACTCTGACCGCGCAGGCGGCGAAGTTGAAAATACCGAAAGGCCGAGAAAGCGCCCTAGATTAAGTAGGCAAGCAAGCGTGGCATCAAGGTTCCAACCGAAGCAGGAAAAACCTTCTCCTAGCAAACGCGGCCGGCAACTGAAAGCGCCTACGAGTGTAGGGCCGAGAAGTGCTAGTGTCCCTAAAATAAAGCAAAAACCAGGGAGGAAGAGAAAGTCAATGGCTGTGGTTATTTGGCCGAACAGATTGCTCAATGAAGCGGGCAGCTGCGGTACTGTGAGTCGTTTTACCATGAAAATTAAGCGTCGTAACAATTTAATCTTGTGTACAGGTCATCCAATGTGATATGTACTTACAAACTCTTGTTTTGGAGTTCATTTTCCATACTGATCGTCGTATACAGCTGTCAGCGCTGGTATCATTGTGGATGTGTGGGATTCGCTGCAGAAGATCCAACCTTGGACAATCTAGACGTGTTCAAATGTCCACTTTGTATCAGTGGAAGGTGAGTCACATCTATTGTGCGAAATTGAACGTCCACTTAAGTGTAAATGTTTATCTAGACCAGGTCGGTAGATTCAATGCGATGTGATTGACCAGAGCTCATCGTCCACTTTTTAGTGAACCCCTCTGCCGTCAATGAACAAGAGAAATGTTCCCGTCCGGACTGCACAGAGAAAGCCGGGGAAAACATATTTTTTGTAGAGCGTATCATCGGACGAAGGATTAAAGCTGAAGGAAGCTTCGGAAGGAAACGTCTTTGGCTTGTGAAATGGCTCAAGTATATCAATCGCATTTATTGAGTCTTTTTGACAATGAGTGACTTTTGTCTCGTCTAGTTATCCTGTCTATCGGGCTACTTGGGAAGAAGACGACTCAATCGGGGGAAACCAGAAGCTCATCGAAAATTTCGTCGAGGATCTCAGGGCGGAAGGCATCGAGGACGATTTGGCGAGCATTCTTTTGCTGCAAGAAGCATCCAATGGAGGATGGAACGCTGATGAGCCGGAAGTGGTTCCGCTACTTACATGATTGCTTTGCATTGGTATGGCCTTTTTGATCATGTTCTGTCTTCGAACCTGAATTCGCTTTCTTCCTTGATCATGAAGTATACAGAAGAGAGTTTTACAATATATATCGAGCTAATTTGCATAGACTAAATACTTGTGTATATATCAGCCAGTAATCAGCTTGCTATCGCCAGATCGACCTTACTTACATCCATTAATGTATACTAGGAAGTTTGTTTCTTGTTGAATATTTTATGCGCTGCTCATAATTTATTTCGAGTTTTGTGTTGCGCTCGTGAAATGTTTACAAGTTCACGAAATGATATTCATCTACTGTATGTCCCAAGAGGACTAAGGCTACATGTAACCCCGCTGAACCAGAGGACACCAGACGCTGAGACGGGTGCCCTGGTTGTGTCCAGGTTATGTCTTGAGCGTCTAATGCACAGTTGCGTCAGGTTGCGTGCTTTGCTTTATCAGTGTCTCTTCTTTACTCAGACTGCCATGCTCCGATTCGAATTCGTGACTGGTGGCAAGCCAGACCTGCTCTAGATCTACTTCATCCATCTTACAATGGAACTCCCAGGTCAGTACCCTGAACCCCGATTTTATTTTGCAATACACCGTCTGATACCTTTGCAGATGTTCAGATTGAAGACATCGCAGTCTCTGCTCCTAAAAAATTGTGCATAATTGGAGCTGGACCCGCGGGATTAGCAGCATTGAAGGTTATTCTGGATACTCCTCAATACAAAAGCGAACGATGGATTCCTGTGGCCTACGAGGCCAGAGACCAAGTAGGTGGAGTCTGGTAAGTAGTACTACCCCCTTTTTATACTTCATTGATCTGATAGAGGCGGATAGGCTCCCTGCATTGCCTACGGCAGATGACCCACCAGTTACCCCGCTGTATGATTCGCTCACCACTAATCTCCCGCACCCTGTAATGGCATACACAAGCTTCCCATTTCCCCCGGGAACCCCCGTGTTTCCTCGAGCACATGTCGTGGAAACTTACCTAGAATCGTATGCGAAGAGATTCAACTTAATACCTCATATTCAGCTTGCTACCTCGGTGGACGCAGTAGAACGCTTATTGGATGGCCAAGATCAATGGAAAGTCAAACTTTCCACCGGTCAAATCGAGGTTTTTGACTTCCTAGTCGTGTGTAATGGTCATTATCGTGTACCACGCTACCCAGATATTCCTAGTCTCGCAAGTTGGCGGGCCTCGAAAAAAGCTATGCACTCTGCTTGGTATCGCCATCCGATACAAGACTATGGAAATATTGTGCTTGTCATCGGTGCTGGACCCAGTGGGCTTGATATATCATCTGAAATGGCTGAAAATGGTACTACCGTTATACATTCAGTTCGTGGAAGTTCGAGCGAAGATCTTGGTAATATCAAACGTCGTGGCTCAGTCGTTGAATTCAAGAACAACGGTGCGGTGCTATTCGAAGATGGAACGATTGAGCAAGGCATCACCTTCTGTATCATAGCTACAGGATACGAGATTGCCTTTCCTTTCCTTCCTGACCCCAGCATCATTCGGAATACGTTACCACCCCCCATTCCTCCCATTCCAAAATCACTTTACAACTCAACTTTCCACTTGTTTCCGTTGGCGAAACACATCTTTCCACTGAGTTACCAGCACCCAACTATCGCTTTCTTGGGGCTTCTAATCCGGGTAGCGCCGTTCCCGCTCCTGGAGGCTCAGGCTAGGGCTACGGTCCATGTCTTTGCAAACCCGTCCACGTTGGATTTTACTCGGGAAGCAGTGGATATCATGGCACGCTCTGCTAGCCTTTCCTCCGTATTAGGGTCTGAAGATCCTTTGGAAATTGCTCAATCCTGGCATCGATTCGAAGACCACGAACAATTTGATTATCGAGATGACTTGTACGAATTTGCTGATGCTTCGACCCAGGAAGGTACAAGCGGCATCGAAGGAAGGATTGTCGTCCCAGATTGGGAGAAGAAGATGTATGATGCCAAAGGAGTATTGCGGCAGTTCTGGGTTTCATTGGAAAAAAAGGGATTGGCAGAAGAATGGGTGAGAGGAGTAGGTAGGAATGGCCTGCACGAATGGGTAGAGCTTTTGGAGAGAATGTTGAGAGAAGCAACGAAAGACACTGGGGAAAGTGCCAAAGGAGAGACCATAGAGGCTGATCAGTCGAAACTTTAAACGAAGGGACACTGCGTGTCAAGTAAGCTGTAGTATCACGTCAACCTAAGCTTGAACCCCAGTAGAACTTGGGAGAAATACATTGCGCTTCATGTAGATACTGGTACCGAAGATAATGATAATTTGGTATTATGAATGATGGCCGCAAATGGAAGGATAGATACAGCTTTGACCTTGGGAAGGGCGGTGTCAAGCACGGGCCGCAGTTGTTCTCACAGTCAGTGTGTCAACTGGTATAACTCTTGAACCGTCTGCGCAAACACATTGTGAATCATATCTCATCCTCTTGACGATGGCCACCGACCCATATCACGCTGTACAACAAGAGATACAATCCTCGTTGCAGACCGCAGGCCAACTCCGCGCATCCTATGTGCGAATAAAGAATATGGCTAGAGATGATAGTGAGGAGCTAGGTTGGGCGAGAAGTGAGGTATTCATTACTTCCTTCCATATGTCCAAGCTCGTAATTGCTAACTCTATGTCCTGACTCTTAGCTCAAAGCGACGCTTGCCGCGCTTGAGGCAGATCTTGAAGACCTGGAGGATAGTGTCAAGTATGTTGTAACTCATTTCGCAGACGGATGGTGTTCATCATTGCTCTAGAATAGTGGAATCTACTGGTCCTCGAATGTTTGGTCTGGAAGAATCAGAGGTTCAGGAACGTAGACGGTATGTTGCCTATGTGCGGAAGGAAGTTGAGGTGCGATCTCTTTTTATCACGAAATTGACATTACTGACAATACATTTCTCGCAAGTCCAGAACATGAGAGCTGAATTGAATACAGAACACTCTACAAGCTCCCGTAACCTTCCATCTTACAGCTCATCTAGTCAATCACATAGTGGTCAAAACACTCCTCGAATAGAATTTGGGCGAGACCAGGACGATGATCACCAAGAAGCATGGGCAAGGGAGGAGCAACAGGTAGTTTCCAACATCCTTGGACTCGTCTGTTTAATATGAATTGTTGTTCGGGGTTGTAGTTCATGATACAAGAGCAAGACCGCACAATAGAATCTATAGCGGGCACGCTTAGCACTCTTGCCCAACAGGCAGGACTCATAGGACAAGAGATTGGAGAGCATAATGAGTGAGTCGACCACTTCCAGTATAAGCTGAGCTTCCACTCATTAGCTATCCTTATAGGATGCTCGACGATTTGGAAACCGGCGTGGATCGAACAGACAGCAAACTCAACGATGCGATGCGGAAGCTGCGCAAGTTCGCTCGGGATTCTGAGGAGCGTGGCAGTGGGTGGTGCGTAGTGATACTGGTTGTTGTGTTGATGATATTACTTCTAGTTGCTATCTTGATTTGAGTGTGTTGGTTGGATGTTTAACTTACACTGCGGGGATGAGCCGATTTTCTCGCGACCGAAAGGTTGATTTTATAGTGAGGTTTGGTACAAAATTATTCGGCTTACCGAGCGCCGAAAATTCTGAATATTCTTTCCTAAAGCCAGTGCATGTTATGGGCCCGATATAGTGCAGTTTATATGCAAAACCTACCATTAATATCCATAATCTTATTTTTACAAAATGCAAGCCGATTTTTCAATCTTTTCGGGGGCCGTTTATCCAAAATTATTCCATTGAAAGCTGTTGAAGGAAATACAAAGAAAATTGAGAGCTTAGTATAGATAGTGGCCCAATATTCTACCAGGAATAATTCAGAATTTTCACATATAAACAGCCTCGCGCAAAGCATGCGCTTTTTCAAAATAAGCTCGCCCAGCTTATGGTGACCCGATGTCGGGACGTCGGGACGTCGCCGACATCGATATATCAGGACGTCCGGATGTCGTTGGCGTCGGGATGTCGGGACGGGTGACGTAGATGATGTCGGGATACGTGACTTCAACAATGATTACTTCGGGATTTTATTTGCACAACTACTATATCTACAGTAGCAGCAAGGAAGTTGATGATTTGAGGGCTTGAATCAACAATCTTCAATGGGCCTTGAGATCTCCAGTAGTTCTTGATTGTTTGCGGGCAATTCGAGAGCTTTACGCATAATCACTGTCAGTGAGATGACAATTGTATATATAAGAAAGACATATCTCGTGAACCACAAATCAATGACTTTTGCTCAAATTTGGAAGACACGTCTGCTGGCTATGCCGTGTAGAGTATATATGAGTGTACATAGTGAATATTTATAACTATCGAAGTCTGCAAAGAGTCGTAAGTTAACGAATCCGAGAGCATTCAAGAATGAACGTACCTTTATGAAGATCCAGCGCGCACAAGCACTGGCCGAATCTTCCTTCGCCAAATGCGTCTCCGTTTTCCAAGGAAGATGAATTTCTCGATGTGACGCCTACCACCTTATCGTAGAAACTCTGAGATAATGTTAAAGTAAGGAAGAAATACATACATTGTGTGCACTGGATGCGAGGTCTTTTGAAGCACTTCAACTCCAGTAGAATGTGAGCTAGAGATTCTTAAGAGAGGATGAGCATGTTCAGATGAGAGTGCTCAAAAGATTACCGGATCTCCTCCTTCTCGGAACGCGCAAAGGCGGCAGCCAAACTCTGTCAGGGCATGGGCACTGACGATCCCATTCGGCTTTCCGCCGATTGTAGCTGTTGGTCATCCCGATTTTCCAACGATGACCGTATTCGACGAAGGCGTAAAGAAATCCTGGCCCATCTGCTAACGATACGCTGCGTGATCTTCGTGAAGCGTACAGGGCACGCAGTTGTGTAGCGGATCGCGATCGTTGGCTGGTCATGTATTTTGAGGAGCGTTGAACAGAAAAGCCGAGCGACGCTAGTGGCAGTGTTGGTAAATGAGGCAGCTAATTTGGAGGCCAGATGTAGGATCTGAAGAGCGACGGAGGATCCAACAAGAGGCTGGAGAGAAAGAAGCGTGACGGGAAGACAGGGGAAGGGAAAAGGGCGCGGGAGCGATGGACAGAGACAGAGGCGCTGAAAGAGCGGATACTGATGACGCGCTCTCAGCATCAGTCACCCCCAAGGTAAGCTTCATCTGCGGTGGTGGCTCAGGGCCACGAGCCTGCTCACGCAGCTTTCGTCGGGAAAGGACTTCTCACTGCCGCTGTATCCGTAAGTGTCTTCGCTAGTCCTAGTGAAAAACAGGTCAGGCGAGCGGTCGGATTGGTTCATCCGCAAACTTCGAGCTCGGGCAGCACTGAAGAAGGAGCGGGAACGTTGATCATTATCGAGAACTGGCAGGATACGTTGAACTTTGGACAGGCCAAAGAAGCGTCATACTCATATCCGATCTATGTCAACCAACTCGGTTCGTTGCCTCACCGTCGCTGACGATGTTGCTGTCCCTCGTTCTCGTATCACTCTTGTTGGACGACTCGGGCTTGCAGACCTAGGGCCGACTGTGAATTCAGAAAATTACTCTGTGACGGGAAAGAGAGCCCGACAAATCTTCCGCCAAAGGACAGAATGAAAGCTGTATGCCCCAAGCAGGCATTGATCAAGGGGTCCAGTTCTCGCACTCAATTCATAGGGACAAGGAAAGAGGCTACATGACATTCGGAGGGGATCAGCGATGAGACGATTTAGTCCTGAGCTGAAGTTTAGAGGCAAGTTTCTGATTTAGACCTCGCAAGACAATACGCCGCTACCAGATATCGCCCTCCTCCTTAAACCTTCCTAGCGTTCGACAACACAGTTGAAAATTTGAAAGCTGCATGTTGATTGGTTCGATGTCTCCGACTTTCTTCAGGCGGAAATTGTTCTCGAGGACCTCTGAAGTTCCGGTGTCGTTATAGAGCTAAGATCTTAGTCGCTACTGAGTTTGACTCTGTAGGCCTAAGTGTTATGTACCAAGTTTTTGACGGCGATAAATAAGTAATGTTTAAGACGGAGCCAATGTCACATGACTGATAAGTGGCATTCCTATAATTATGATCATGATGATTACCATCATGACCATGTCATGTTCGAGTACAACTCGGGCATAGACACGACTCTACGAAGCTCTACGGCTTCTAACTCCTCATATCAAACTCTGGACGCACCTAAATATTTATCAACATCCTCATGTCATGTTTGAGTACAACTCGGGCTTAGACGCGACTCTCTGAAGCTCTACGACCTCCAACTCCTCATGTCAAACTCTGGACACCCTCACACTTACCGCTGGATCAATGGAATTGTATCATTTGGTTTAGATATCAACGCAACGTTTTGCCTGATTCTATGAACTATGGAATCAAGACCTGGAAGATGTCTCGCCGCCGCGAGGTTGAGCTTTCCTTCACAGCACTCGAGACCCTCTAACTATATCGAGTCTGAACCAATTCAATCGTTTCTTTTCATTTTCTTCCATCGATTGGAACTGATACACATCGCGCTCCTGTGATTCCTAAATAAATATAAGTATATCGAGAATCGCTCATGCTTCGCATCCCCAGAACCTAACTCTCTACAACCACGATACGACGATTTGCTCACAGAAGACTGTTTGACCTTGCTCACTCGTGTTCGCTCAGGGCGAAACTAATCATAAACAACTCGCAATGGATCCAAGCAAACACAAAGCACTTACGGATGAGGTATGATCAGTGTTCCGTTGGTTGAGCTGCACTCTCATGAGCCTCATCAGAAAGCGACCAACACTGCCCATATAATTCACGGAAGTTCTCATAAGGAAGACGAGACAGTTGGACATCGAGGCACCACGGTATGACTTTCTGATTTCAAAACACAATTCAAGCATCTCATTGTTTTTGGCTTCGGAATATTTTGAAGACTGTGCACATCGATAAGGTGCGTTCTAACTTATTCCATGACATCCTTGTCGTGATGTCTTACGTTGGGTTTATACTTCAGATCTTTCCGCTATTGGCTATGGGATTTGAAGCTAGCGATGAAGAATGTCAAATGGACCCTTATGTGTACAATAGACTCTTGTGGCGTAGCCCTCAGATTATTCAGATCCTCGACAAACTGGACCGGGTGACTCACAGAAAATATTCATAATGAAATGTATCTGTTATGTACTATCAATAATCATACGATTGTCAGTCCTTGTCAGTCTAAGGTTTAGAGCAAATAAATTGAATTCGTTTTGAATAAATGTCAATATTCACATACTCTAGCAAAAGACCTGCAAAAGACAATCCTGCGAACGCGCTGACATTTGATACAAAAAATACATCTACTTGTACAATAGACCTGCATCACTCTGGACCTTGCGCCCTGGGGTATCCTCGGTCCTTCAATGTCCTAAACAAAAATGAGATACGATCTAATTTCCTGAATGATGATACGCACTTCAAAAGGTCTGCAGGAAAAATGAGTTTGATGGGCTTTCGCGGACGAACAAACTCGTTAACAAATCCACTTCCACCTTTAGCCCATCCAGGTTCCTGTTCCTCGAGCCACTGAGCATCGTAAAAGTTTGCAGGTAGGCCAGAGACGTATTTCGTCTTCGAACTTCGATCGTTTTTATCGATGCGAATTCGAGGAGGAGCCCCTCGCGTATAACCGAATCTAGTTGCTTCAGTGGTACATCGACCTTCCAGATGGCAGTAGTCCAACAACCTGAGTAAATTCAGAAGTTCGACGCTTCGCCATTTCGGCGCCTTGATAATGTATTGCACTTGCGGTTTCTTCATGCCAGGATCCTCATCGTCAGAGGACATTCCTGCGACGCCTAGCTCATCGAAGAACGAGAGGAAGGACTCAAGCGAGTGGAAGGTGATGATGACCTCCCTTCGACGATGGAACAGCTTTTGGGGTGTGAGTTTGTGTGTTTAGGCAATAGAAAGTGACTCACGGTATTTTTCCGCTGCCACCTTTTGGAAAATAGAGAGCGAGGATTTTTGTTGTCCTCCAGCATTTTCTGTCTTTCCATCCAAGATGCATGAAGTGTTTTGAGTCGTAAAAGGAAAGCTTCGCGGATAGCATCACGAGTCTGAACATCGGGTGTGGCAATCAGCTTCCTCTTCTCAAGAATTTCTACAAAGACATATGAAGCACCCTTGTTCCATGCCGATTTGGGACCACCCGCGATCCAGTATCGAAAATCGTCGACTGAGCAAGGGCGTGCAAGAGGATTTGTTTTGAACAGCAGCGTAAAGTCATCAGCCTCGTCCTGGGAGACTGTCTCCTTGAGCTGATCCTGGCCTTCCATTATTTCATTCAACCATTTCCGCATCGTTTCCTATAACGAGGACCTTTGGATAAGCTGAAACACATAATGCAAGTAAGTACATACCTTGATTTTCAGTTCTTCAGCAGGTCGATGCTTGACCCCTCCTGAGCGAGCAGGCTGCTTTTTCCTAGCATAACGGAAGAAGGGATTGTCATTTGAATCTCCTTCGTCGTCCCCATCCTCGCCATCGCCATTGCCGTTGTTGCGATTCGTGGCGCTTCCCGCAGCTCCACCGTCACTAGGTTTTGCCGCAGAGTCACGGTCGTTTGAGGGCTGGGGTCCTTGATTATTTCCGGATCCATGTCTCTGACTATCTCCCTCGTCCTGATGACCCGGTGACCCTTTGTGTTTGCTCTTTGCGGATAACATATCCAACGTCTCCCCAATTCGGCCGAGTATCTCTGTGTTCTGCGCAAGGTGGGATACTACCTTGTCTATCTTGTGATCTTGTTTCTGCAATACCTGGTCTTGTTTCCGAAGTATCTCTGCGGTTGAATTTTGCAAATGATGATACAGTTCCCCCATTGTCTTCGTTTGATGATTGAGCAGAGCTTGCAACTAAATGGATACAATTTATTATCATGCACATAAGTACATTGAACACTCACATAGTCTACGGGCCCCTGGCTATTAGATTGGGTATTTGACTGCGCTCCGGTGTGAGAAGTGGGTTGGGCTCCAGGAGTTTTGTCATTCGACTGGGAGGGACCAGGCTCAGGATCATGCACTCTCCTTCTTTTGCCTTTCTGGATAGTGGGTGACGGTGGTTGCTAGCAGATGTATGAGTGATCTTGTTCCTGAGATAAAAATATGAGTTTGATTACACACCTGCATTATCGGTTGATTTCTGGGGCCTGGGGGGGCTCTCGGAGTCATATCTGGAGGGGCCCTGGGAGTAGCATTGATATCGTCCATCTGGAAATCTTCAGACCGTGGAGGTGGAGTCTGCGGAGGTGGAGTCTGCGGAGGTGGGGTCTGCGGAGGTGGGGTCTGCGGAGGTGGGGTCTGCGGAGGTGGAGTCTGCGGAGGTGGAGTCTGCGGAGGTGGGGTCTGCGGAGGTGGGGTCTGAGGCGGATGTGGTGATTGATTATGGAAGAAGGCCTGTGGAACCTGGGGTGCCATTTGAGGCATCGTTTGTGGGTTCAATGGTGCAAGTGGCATCGGATCGTCCTCTCCAGCATCCGGGCTCTGAGGCACACTATCGTATGAATCCATGGTCCTAGAAGAATCAGAATCGCTCGAACGGTCGAGGTCGACGTCAACAGTGTTGGTCGTAAGACTAAAGAGGGCGGGAAGTCGCATCTCCATGACCAAAGAAAGTAGACGATATTTTCTGAGATTCCTGTCGGAGAATCAAGCTATCGATCAATCATTCATTCATGAAGCATAAGTTGAACGTATGTACATGTCGTGAGGCGCGATATGCGCGAAAATTGCTGGACATCGCTTAACGATTATCGGAAAAATCAACTTGGTTTTAGGGTGCTGGATGGTGTGTGCAAAGATCCGGGGGGTTGTCGTCTGTCGTACTAGTCCCTATTTGGCTCGTGAAGGTCTGTAACCGCTTATATCCAGTTTAGAACCAGGACAAGCTAGAGAGGTAGGTAGGAAGAGAGTTCGAGTTAAACGAGACAGATTACGCCATCTTTTCGCCGTTCGGGCCGATTATTCAAAGTTACCGAAAAAGGAAACGGGGCTTTGATTCTGAGTATCGTAAAGTATTTTACACTTAATTCTACACAGACAGCTTCCAGTTACAAGAGTGGTGAGCGAAAATCAGATTGTACATGGCTGGGATAGTATACTATCTATTCCTACAACTTCCAATGCGCGCAATAGTTGCCATGAATGAAACCTAAGCATGAATGAGTAAACATGGTGCTTAATGAAGGAGGAGTTTACATACCTCTTTCTCGAACTTTTGTAGTATCTCTGAAATTTTTGCGGTCTGGGCCAGAAGAGGTGCAAACGCAAGGGCATATTCCTGAATACGACAACAATATTAGTGGCTAAACATGATTCAGATTGAAGCGATACACACCTGCGTTTCTCGAGAGGGTGTACGCTGACAATATACTAACGCCTTGAATAACTTGGGTTTCGTCTGGTAACGAGCTTGCAAAATATGAGTGGCAAGATCCTCCAGGGCATCGTGAAGCAGGCGGCAGGTTGCATCCGCATCTGGAAGCACCAACGTAAGATTGCTCAAAGGTTCTGAGTGCTTGCCAATGATGATCTAGGTAGAGTTGAGTGAACAAACAATCCGTTGATGTTGCGAACTACCTGTCCCCTGAGCTTTAGTAGCACTAATTGAAGAACGCGAATTTCAGGTTGGAGTGAGAATGATTGCGCCTTTTGTGCAAGAGAGACAGTTAGAATGAGAGGAGCAGCATTGAATTCGAGGACATACAGTGTGCTCGAGGCTTCCTGTGCGCACAAGGTTCATATATACACGTTCCTGGTCTTCGATTGCAGAATTCAGCTTGACAAAGAGAGTTTGGTACTTCTGGTCGAATATGTGTAGGGTCGCTGTAATCGTGCTCGACAGATCATCGATTGGCTCCATGTCAAGAATCGGTAGAGTAGTTCAAGCTCTAAAAAACAAGAGTCAGCTTTTATAGCGAGAAAAGACGTACGGTACAACATCAGATTCAAAGGGACCGGACTGTAGAGCAGAATTGAATCAATCTCGCATCCATGAATGGAGGCTTTGAGGAGCTCAAAGGGTTATTCAATATCGCCATTACCTGTGTCCGGTTTGAAACCAGGACGAGGTGGCTAAACTGGTTGATCAAAGGGAAGAAAGTAAGTAATCCAGTCGAAAGCCGACCGGCGCTTATCAGTATCGTCATCATATACGGGCCGATCTATTTTTTTTACCTCGACAACTTTCACCAGTCACCACCACTGAGTCAAACTCCGTGGTTGGTCAATCTTCACCTCGATGGGACTTCGTATCCCTTTCACCCCTTCAAGCGCGTTTGTCTCAATCTGTCCAATGGGATCAGTATCCTCTTCTTCCCTTCTTCTTTCCTTCAAGCATTTTCACCTCAATGGGCCCGCTTCCGCAATATGCTCAAGGTGCCACACAGTTTCATAGTCCCCAGCTCAAAGAGACCTCATAAGAACTGACGCTCCCATCTCTTTTCCCCCATAATGTCTTTCTCACTCGTACGGTGTGTATCTTGCGAAGACGCCGAGATAAATCAATTGCAGCGGCGAATGGCAGCTGCTTCAGACGAGGCTGACAATCTTCGAATCGAGCTTGATGCTTTGACAGAGCGCCTCAAACTACGCGATGAGGTAGATATCCTTTTACCGATTGTCTGCGTCTATCTTTAACTTCTTGTTAGACAGAGCTTCGTTCGCGTCTGACCAAACAGAAAGCTCTGTATGTGCAAACGGTTGCTACTTTGAAGGAAACCATGGAGGATAATAGGCGACTCCAAACGGAATTCTTGCATATGCGAAAGACTGGGAAGTGACTAGTAGTGGTATGTTGTCAATTCTCCTTTGACTCGTCGCGATACTCAGTTCATCTAAATCTTCAATGGACAACTAGAATCAGTACGTTGTCGACTCTCCTCTGATGCATCGTGATACAAAAATTTTACTTAGGGAATGGTGAATCATGAGCTCACGGGCTTCCTTACTGACATACGGAGAGTACGCGTCTCGGTTGTCGTCGGATACCTTTCTTGTAATCGCTGCATCTTTGTATGACGAAATTCGCCAGCGCTATACATATGTATGCCATATTTATCAGATCCTAGCTTTCATTCAGCAGAGAATGGTCGAATTATGATCATGATCATGAGCATTCTTTGAATCCCTCCATGACCCTGCAAACATGCATAGATAAGTAACAACAGCTACATTCATAACATTAAATGGTGCCGTCTCTAGCCATCGCATGGTCCTGAATTACCCCGAAACAGATGGACGGGCTTGGATGGGTCGGTCACAATTAGATCCGAGATTTAGAGGTAATTTTCTGGACCCTCTTTTCTTTCCTTTTGATCGAACCAGGATCGTGAACGATATCCGAACCTTTTTACTGCGTGACGCCTCGTTTTCGACACTCATGGGATGTTTGAATCGTAGGAATCGAGACCCACTCCGCATCCTCCTCAGTCCAACAATCACTTGCCTGATAAACAAAGCCTGCTGACACAGTTCTCCCGAGAGCAATGAACCCCTCCTATACTAAGATGGGTGTAATAGACTTGCCTACCGGTACTGTCAATGCATTAGCCTTTTCGATGGATGGACGTTATTTGGCCAGCGCCAGCGACGACAAAACGGTGCGCGTTCACGACATAGAACGTGGACTGTCAAAAATTTGGGAACACAAAGGCACCTACCCATACACTGCTGTCGCATGGAGAGATGACATTCTATTCGTCGGTGACGAGGGAGGGGGGATTATCTGCTCTTATCCCACCTTGGTGAGTTCTGTGTTTCTGGTAATTCAGGATTTAATATCTGAACGCGAGTAGAGGTGGCCACGTCGACGAGCAAACGAGGTCATACATGAGGCCTCTTCACCTGTCGCAGTCATTGAAGTCAACGAGAGCGGTGATCATCTTCTTATCTGCTCAGGTGCCGACGTTTTACTTTTCAAAAAGAAGAGTATGAATTATTCCCTACTTGAATGCTCGTATGCTTCTTAATATAAGTCATAGGTTCCGGAGCATGGCGATATACAGACCGCCTGCCACGTCCTGCTTTTGGTGAGACTGAGAATTTCGCCCAACCTCCGACTCTAGCAACAGGCGTGCATTTTCTCGAGAGTGATAATGAATGTCTTATTGCATACTACCATCATGGTTTTTGGTGAGGGAAACATAAACTCGATGCAGATCTACTCTCAACATCCTGTATATTAGGAAGTGCAACATCGACGCTTGGGAGACGACTCGTATCTGGGGTCCAGATGAGAAAATGTATGGCCTCTCCGTCTCGGAGGTAGTCAATAGCTTAGAACTTCCATAGAGGTACTTCCGCTAAATCCCCAGACTCAACTTCTTTGGTGGCGACGAATATACGCAACGGTTTGGATTGGTTCAGGAACACGCCTCAAGACTTCAAGAAAATCAGTACCTCGTTTGAAATTCAAGAACGTGGATCCAATGTACCGCTTCTCGCTCTGTTTATTAACAAAGGTCAAGCGACAATAATGGGTACGACGAAGGGATACGCTGTGATATTCGATGCAAAACACGGGAGAAGGATCCAAACTTTGAAGCACGGAACGGGTGAGTCTGCCTAAAGTACATAAATCCTTCGCTGATTCTTCCTGGATTTAGACCACTCCTGGGTGACCGCCTTGGTAAGTGCCCTCGACGTGTCTCCGACTCCTTCTGCTAATCCTTGTTTTATCCCACTCTAGGCATATGTAGAAATTGAGGTGCCAACACGTCGTCGAATGATAGCCACTGGCAATGGTAACTGTGCGCAGCATACACAAATATTACTGTGGAATGAAGACGAGGGCACTCCCGCTAAGGGAACTAGCAAGTTGTGGGTTCTACCTAGACTTGTAAGGTGTGTTCCTCATATCCATGACTCCGTTACTGAAACAATATACAGATTATGATGATTGTAACTGTTGGCCGTATGATCTTCGTGGCAATGGGTATAACCTTCGCAATCTTGCTGTTATTCCCCTCACAGTGGTCAAGCGATAGTGTTTCGAAGATTCTTGGATACTCCGATAAGATATCATCCATGTCTTATACGGTGACATCTTCCCCTTCCTCCGCCTCTTCCCCTTCCTCGTCTTTTCTGTCATCCGGCGGTCACTCGCCCCCGAAGACAAAATTCAAAGAGATACTGGTCAATTTGGGAGAGCTTGTCCTGGTGTGTGTCCTTTGGTTCATCGGGATCTCAATGGACTGATTAACTTGGGACTTTTGACAGTTCTAATACCAGGGCTTTGGTATCATATCACTTCTAGTTCATATGTTTTTTGTATGCCTTGCATATTCACCGCTCGCGAATGCGCAGTCATCATTCAAACACAATAAATACTCAATGAGCATTGATTTCAGTATTCTTTCGAGAACGCAAAGTTTGATGAGCTGTCGTCCTAACATTCATGATCCAGCAAGAGCGACGTCTTAAGCGCATACTGTTCAATTTTTTTGACGCTCACTCACGATGTACATGTACATTGTTTCTAATTGTATATATCAATTATAAGAGCCCTAGTAACCTCACTTACATGACGCACGAGCCACTGCTCTTCGAATTCTGGGATCCGGACATCTACATGTACATTGCATATATCTATTCGCTCGCGATCACCCACAAAACAGTTCAGTTTCTACCTCCTGCTCGTCAAACCTGTCTTCAGATGTACTGGCTGTTCGGATAACGTCCAACTCCATCACCACCTCTCTCTTTCTGAGCTCATCACCTTTAGCACAGCGGATCACATACACGTATGTTGAATAAATCTGCATTTTGATTGATTGAGAGTGTCCAGAATGTACATATTGTAACTTGAGCTCACCAGTGTGACAATAGTTTCGATGACGAGGGCCAGACCGAGGAACAAGCAAAAGACGAGTCCCATTATGATAATCAATGTTCCCGCATTCTCTTCTAATTCTCTGGCGAGCTCTGGAGAAGGAGGTGGCGGATCGGTAGAGGTGCCGTCGGTAATATAGAATGCGAGGATGATTTCGCGGAAAATTACGCGTGCGAGTGAAGTATTGGTCGGACCAGTCATGATGATAGATTCAATAATGGCAGAAACAGTTGGGGACCGAGAGAGCGTATTTTAAGTTGGGTTGGAAGTTTCAGGGTAATGGGAGTAAAACTAAGAACATTCTATCGATTGTGGAAGCGATAAGCCTGTGTGTTGGCGCGTGGAGAGGGCAATACGAATGGGGTTTTTCAGTCCGCATTTGTTTGAGAAGACAGGAAGTATGACATAACTGAGTGACTCTTTGTATGTTTTCAGGTTTCTTTGGGGCGTACATCCGCAAGGTGAGCATTGAGCATGAGGTCGTATGACAGCATTTTTTGACCTGACATACGCTCGAGGACCATTAAGTATTTGGGGCCCAAGATTGATTATATCTGTTTCCGGATATGAGTAACAGAGGCGTTTCCTACACCCAATGTTCCATAGTAAATTCATTCCCTAGAATAAATGAATACAGTGAATTCGTTTGATCATTCCTGTTCAATAGCGTTCGCTGTTACCTGGAGACTTCCTGAGTATCCAGGAGAAAATATCATACTCAGTATTCAGTGGCACCATTCATTCATCTGACTCCCCAAAAAGGAACTAATTTAGCATTCGGATCAACGCATTTGATCATGATCCATTGATCAATGATTGACCCTGGTTCAGTGAATTTACTTGGTGGGGGCTGGAAAGGTATACGCTTGAGATACACTGAAGCTCGAAATAGATGTCTTCCCCTACCAAAATTGCGGCTTTATACGCAGGTATAGAGAAAGTCAGAGGGTAGACGGTGAAGGGCGAAAAGGCGAAGTTCAGGGTCGAGCAGCCAGTTTCAAGACATGCTTTTTGATCCCTTTCATGATGATCCATGGCCATTACATCGATACTGTCAAACTGTGAATGTGGTTTTTAGTTCAAGGTCAAGTCTGGCTCGAAATTAAGGCTGATTTCCAGACATAGATAGAACGGTGAAGAGTCCGGAGCATTTTTACAAGAAACTTCCATCTATGGAGTTTGAAAATTCAAAATGAGGCGCGGGTAGAACAATACGGCGAAAGTGAAAATGAAAAAAATAATATCAAAGCTTCTTGGGTACGAACTCGTGCTTAGGACATGTCTTGCGTATAAAATGGAAGGGAATACAACGCTCTCCTCACATTGAATCCTCATTAGCTTTCGTCGAACCTAGAAACTTCCAATGCCTTCTACTAGTCGACAAACCAGATCCTCCAGGAGTGCAAGTCGCTCCTCAAGTGCGGCTTCTGTCCATTCTTGGTGGGGACCGTTGTTAAACGGGAACATCATGCCATTGCGAGATGAGGATAGGGTAGGTTTCGCAATCCGATACTGTCACTCTAGTCATTTACTTGAATTTGCCAGGTCGATGGAAAGACGTTGGGATTATTCTTCAGACGTGATAACGCATTCCCTGAAAAGAAACGTTTTGATTCTGTCGGCTCTCGCGAAGACAACAATCGTTTTATTGAAGTTCAACGGGCCTTCAAATTCGATTATAATGCCGACTTCTATCAGGCGAAGGTGATTGTCGGAAAGTGCAAATATTATGTCGCGGGAACCTACAACCAGCGCTCGGTCGAAACGAATATGTCTCTGGAGGCTTACGGCTACAACAAAGAGTTTGCAGGAGACGTAGCCATCTTCTTCCATTCGAAGTACGATCCAGAAAGGTTCCTCGAGGCCCTTCCGCGCTACAGCAATGCAAACGAGAGAGAGATCGCGATTCGTCGTGTTATTACTGCGTGAGTAGATGCAATTGCCTTCGTGTTATTGCTCTAACTTAACGACCGGCGTGATATAGCTTTTGCAAAAACGTTAAAGACCATGTTGAGAAGAATACATCTCTCAGACGTGTTATCAGAGGGTAGGTGGGTTCGTGGCCCATAGCCTTCGCTGTGTTTGCGCGTATGTCCCGGAGACCTACAAAATTTCTTCATCGTGTCTACTCTCTATGCTTCTTTCTCTTTGGATCGCTCATCTATCACATATACTTCGTGAAACGTGAATCTCGAATGGAGTTTACCAGTTCCTCTTCTTCTTCAGTTTATGCCTAACCGATGTTTCCTCTGCTTATGCCTACCCCGTTATATGTCTCAGTCTTTTTACCATTTTGATCGGCCAGTGTACTTACCTTTCTCCCATTCGTCTTCTTAGGCATTAACGCTGTCAATGCCCTTGTAGATACATGTTTTGCGTTCTTGGACTGGTTCCGCTCCGACTAAAATTCGATACGCGTAGTTCCTTGTGATCGATATCGAATCTGCCTTTTATTTGCGTTGAAGTATTGGACTGATTCCGGTTTCTAACCTGGAGCAATCCGTGAATCCGTGGTCATGAGTACAATATGGTTGCATGCGCAATTGCAAAGACGTAGCTAGCTATTGAACTTGCAAGACAAATTTGAAATGACTACATGCACGTGACCTGTTTGCCACGTGCATCCTCGTGGCTCCATGGTAGCTCTTAATTCCAAGTACGTACTTACTTACGATTTGCACATCCATCTTTCTACTAACGGCTTCCTTCTGGTTTAACTGGATACGAAGCTCGCTTACACTCTAAATCCTCATCAAACTGCCATCGGGTCGCTGTCTTTGTTAGGTGGACTGAAAGAAAGGTTTCAAACTTCACTCGGACACCAGTTGAGGCTACGAATCGACGCTGGTCCTGATTAGATAGGAACAGAGCTTCATTAATTCTCCTGTGCAAAATATGGATCGTAAGTACATGCCAGCTGCTGCTCACCAGTTCCGTCTCAATTTCATCCTAGTCGTGCAATGCCGTCTTGCGACCTTTGAAGAGACAGAAGGTACTTTGCATGCGGTAATTGATACAGATGTCTTTACCTGCCTGTGTCGCAAACCGTTCAATTTTCCCAAAATCCCTCCACGACATCAACCTGTAAATCTGAGTCCTCACGCAACGACGCTGCCCAATTTTTATGCTCCCCGCTGGATTGATTCATCAATACCTTTCTTGGGATTTGCTCCGAGCAGTAATCCGTTCAAATTCCATTTCCTCAAATGCCTTGACTACGCTTTCGATAGTTTGCCTATTGTGAAGGATAACGATGGTCATTACGTTCTTAGATCGTCAGAAAAAGCGAACTGGGATTCTTTGGAGAGAAATATGCGTGCGTTCCTTCGCGCATGTATGAGGGTAAACTCGTTGGCGGTCCCTGAAAATTTTCGACTTTGGCCCTATCCAAACAACTATGGGTATCGTTCACGGTGGAAGACGGAGATGGATGCGCGCTATGCAGCCATGCGGTCTCGTCAAGCATTTATCCCTTTAATTGCATGCATATCCTTCTTTCTTCACTTGCTGTATCATCTGGAAAGTCAGTGGGTCGACCTTGTTATATCTGCCTTCGAACATAATGCAAGATTGCCTAGCATTAGTCCTTTTTTGAGCAAAAGGCAACAGGAATATGAAAGACTCCGGAGAGAACCCTTTCCAACAAAATGGCAGTGGAAAGAGCAGTTGCAGCAGCAAACGTCGATCAGCTCAGAGTGGCTTGAATATTTTCATCAGATCCTGGATCTTCCGATGGTCGGAACATTTCTAGATCCCCACACTTCCGATTGTCTTCCATGGATTCCAGTATTTCTTAGAGCGAAAATGCCCCTGATGTTGTACTGGGGTTCTATCAATAATTGGTCAATCCCCACTACGCTAAATCGTCTGATTTCTGCACCTGATTCCGCTTTGATAAACACTTTAATCTCGCAACAAACGCCCTATCCTCCACCCCCATCACCCATAGAACAACGTTTAACGCGCGAGTTCCCCATCTATAAACCTCGATTGCGCTTGCCTCGTATCGATGGCGGAACCCTTCCTCGTCCAAACGAGAACCTCTTTGCTTTCATTCAGCGTAGAGAAGATCATAGACTCAAAGTCATTGCATCTGAGACTTCCACTGAACGTCAATCTCGTCTTCAACGTGAGGCAAATGCTGACAAGGATCGGCCTCCGGGTAGAAAAGGTGCCCGCGTCTACTACTGGGACTTAGTCGAGGGGACCAGGGTCCGGACACCAGTGGGGAGGAGCAATTACGAGGATATTTGGGAGAGGTATGGGTCGCGCCAGAGGCGTTATGATTCCGTCGCTGATGAATGGGAGGTTTGCACCGACTTCGACCCTAATGATGCTCCCGATGATTACGGCTATTACTCCGATGATGATGATTCGGACTGTTTCATTTCCGTCGGTGCTCATATCAACGAGGAAACATACCACAATGATGGGGCCATGTCCTCCCAAGCCTATCTCACTCGCCTTCAATCTCCCAATAAGCTACCGCATTCTTCGATAGAGTTCCACGAGGCCATCGAAGACGTTGCTTACCACAGGTTTGGGTTTCTCAAGCAGCCTATTGTACAAAATCGTGACTTTATACTCAAATCGAAAGCTTGGAAAAAAGTCCTGGGCGTTTTCGGCTGTGGACGTCGTCACGCAGCAGTTGAAATTGACGATCATCTCAAACTACAGCTATGTGATTTCATCACTCGAATACTAGATGCCGTAGATCTCCGACATGCACCTGATGGGTATGACTTATCTGCTAGGAGTCTTATGCAGCCTTCGGTTCCCTTTGAAGTTGATACTCTGTCTTCATACAATGGCCGTTACTTTATGATACAAGCAAAAGATGCCACAGATGACGAAGAATATGTGATTGCACTACGCAGCGCCAGCACCGTCATGGAAATCGCACGTCGGAAATGGGGTCCTCAAACTGAGGATATCATAAAGTGTTTGATAGAAGAAGGGATTCCCTTCAACACACTCATGGCTAGCCACCCTCCTCGTATGTCCCTTTCGATGCCCTTCCGTAAACCTGCAATGTTAGGCTTCCGCCCGGTTGGATTTGCACCAACGTTACAAGACTATAACTCCTACGAACTTGTTCGCAATGATTTTTTGCGCTCTGCCAGGGGCCGTGCAGCGCTCTTAGCTGGAGGTATCATTGCCAGATTAGCTCGAGGCATTGTCGATGCAAATGATGTTTACGATGGCCCGACTGGTCATGCCCTACATGAAGGCGAGCAAGCACTGTGTGTCTGGGAAGCAGGCCAAACTTGTGCGTTTTGGGATGATAACCTTACTAACGAGGAGATGGATCTGATTTGTGGTTCATACGAAGTTGCAACAGGTTCATACTTCTTCTCTTTGAATTAAATCTAATTCTGAAGACCTTGCATCCAGGTTTTATTTCAAATCAGGGTCAACAACAAACCGCGATCAAGTCCTGGTGGCCTCGTTCAGGCTCCTGGCGATCCTGTGGTCTTAATTGTGGATACTGGTCCAGAGATGCAGAAGATTGGTTCCAAAATTGTTTGGACCAAATTCTAAAGTCTACGGTGCCAGTAGCTTTGATGACCAGTCAGGAATGGCATGGGAGATTGAAGTTTCAGAGGGCCCATAGTCTTTCCAACAAAAATGACATTCTTGCTACAGAATATCTCAAGGCAAAGTGTAATTTACCGATTTAAATCTAGTTAGGTCGCACTGTGCAACAAAATTGTATCCAATGTATTCTTGCGCAATCGAATAATTTAATTTATCAACTTGTCAACTCATGATGTTTCTCAACTTTTCAACTTTGAAATAGATCGTGCATTTGAACACTACATAGATATACACTCTATGTGACAATTGAAATTTGATTGACTCTAGGACCTGATTACAGACAATGCTACACTGGCGAGGTCTCCGATCACGCAGATCATTGACCACATAATGGAAGTACAGATGAAAGCACCAATGAAGATGACTGTGTCGATAGCAAGTCGGTGAAGCCCGGACCTCTGTTACAATGTCCATCAACCATGCAATGAATTTATAGCGAATCCTACCTGATCTCTGCCCTGAATTTGCGGGGCATGATATCGAATGAAAACAAGCAGCCCGACACTCAGAGCTGAATGTCCGATACCAGTCAGTGGTTGATGAAGAAACATAGTTCCGATCTTCCAGAGTGCTCTAATCAAAAAAAGCAAGTAACTTAAAGAACCTGTAGTGAACAGGATTTTAGGGAGTTGCCGATCAAGTGCCTAAATATGTCGATGAAGTTTTAAGTGTAACGGAGAAGAAGTCGGTATACTTACAATAAAATCTAGCAGATTCATGTGTGGTCCTGGAAGACCAAGTTTGTCTTCGGCCCTATTGCATTGATCGACATCGTTCTCTCCTTGATTCCGGACCTCCTTCGATGCCTCATTCGATGCAAGGTTAACATGTATATCTGATAGTGGAGGTGAAGTAGTGGAGTTCTGCGAAGACCGTCACTACGTACCACTAATACCAATACTTTGGAAAAATGACCTACTTTTTCTTCTGCCAATTTACGTTGCCCTCCTTGATCACAGACCTCATTCGATACAGGCATTGCAGGGATATCCAGCACTGGAGTAGTGGCATTCTGTTCAGCGGAACTCTGCGCAAGATGAGATAATGAGATCGAATGTGCTAATGATATCCGTACGATTGATACAGGGGAGACTAAGGTGAAACTTGCATTCACAGGATTCTTCGACCATTGCAAGTCATTGGTATGACCGGGATGCGGGGTAGGGCCAGAAACGTTCTGCAGAGAGATGAATTTGAAGATCTAACAATAAATTCGGACTAACCAAAAGCATTTGGCTATGTCTGTCAGCGTCGCCCTCATCACTATCTTCCATTTCATTACTTCTATCTTCTTCATCGATCTTCCGAATGTCTTCCGTTTCGTCTTCGCTCCCAACCGATCTGGATTCTCTAGAGGAGTCGTCTATGTGATTCTACTGAAAGAGTCAAAACCGGTTCGATAACACGGGTTGATGTACGCACGTTCGCGTCAAGGGCACTGGACTCTGCTTCTGTAGGCCTGTACCACCCATCGTGGTCAGGGAGGAGGACCTGAGGATATGCATTCGGTGTCTGATCATGAGAGGGGCTCATTGGGAATGGTCACCGCGTGTATTTCACTAGGCCAAAATTGTGATGGCATGATCATGAGATCTGAACACGTTCTAACGTCAGAAATGGGCTTCGGAAATCACGTCGATATCGGGTCGAATAGATGATATATGAGCCATCTAAACACGGAGTTATACTCAGGTGTTTAGACTGGTACTTGGTTCGGAGTATAATTTGGAGTAAATCAACATCGTAAACAATTCGCGATCGAGACTGATCTGAGCGGAAATATCATGTGACTGATGATATGCTTGATAAGGTTTATCGGAGGTCATGTGACAGATTTACTCGAGGAATTTTCGCCTGTCGTGCGCACACGTATACTACTTAGTACTCTATACTAGTACTACAGGTCCTGATTCTCTATCACATGCAGGCGATCCCACAGAGTCAAACTCAGTAGGAAAGCTTCAATAGGACCTCCTTACACACAGGTACCCCACGAAGTCACTTCATTCTATTTCGCACCACTCACACTACCTGAGTCTTCGACTGGACGTGACCCGGATCTCTTCAGGCTTCGCGAACGATACGTTGTCAAAGTGCTATTGAGGACCCAGCTTGGCTTACCCGTTGCAGTCAACTTCAATGACCGTTCTGCAATTTTGGGATGCGCCACCTGTTCATTATTCAGGTCCACAGGTTGCCATCCAAGCCCCTTCCCATCCCGATTGAACCATACCCAAATCTGATATCCTCCATCTTTGGTACTTCTATGGATGTATACCGTCCCTAGAATTCTTGGAATCGGTGTTTCGGGGAGAGGAACCTCCAAGTTAACCGGTGATTGGCTGTAATACCAAGCAGTTTCCCCTTCGCTTGTATGCGACCTAAACGAAACAGTCTGTAGCTTTGTCGGTCCATAGGTGTCGCCAACGATGGGGCTTGTTCGTTTTGACTTGTCCAACAAGTACTTCGGGGCAGCTGCGGAAAATTTGAAAGTGACGGGCGTAGCTTCTCTCACCTCGGCAGCTGCGACGGAGCCTGCTCTCAGCAAAGTTATCAGTACAAGTCTTTCGCGAAGAAGGACTGACCGACCTGGACTAGCAGTTCTTTCGTCCCTTCGTTTGAGGGCTCCTTTTTGGGGTGGGGGGGTTTTCGCCCGCACTCGAGGGCTTCTACCTCGATCTCAGTATCTGTGGCTGCGACAGGAAGCCGATATAGATTGACATACACCTCTTCAGCATTGGGAACATCGATGATTTTCTGGATAATCCCATCGTCGTCCACAGCATAACGGTAATAGTCGTGATTTTCCCTCCTGTACCAGCCCAATCGACGGGGCTGTAAACAGTCAGCGAATAGTCGGTTGTCTAGCCCAAGTTTGATTGTTCTCCCACCTTCAAATCATGGGTTCCGTCGTCTGTAACCTTTTCTGGGTCCATTATCAAGAGAGTACTTGTTCAACCCTACGTGATTATAATCAGTCCACTTCTCCTATCAATGTTGATCAATCCCTCAATTTCATGTGGAGCTGGCAGCTGCTGGCAGCCTGGCAGGTTGGTGTACTCGTCCCTGAATCAATAACGCAATTGATAAGCAGAACACTCATCTAGTTCGTTCCAGGATTCCTCCAAACTAAAGTCGGACCTGAAATGGCTCGCCGCCGTAGGGATGATTCAAACGAACAGCCGTGTCGATGTCAGGAGTGTTTGAAGCACAATCCGGAAGGAATACTCCTTTCACGGTCTATGTTGAACACGCATCGACACCGGGAACGTCTCCGAGCCGCTTTATCAACCAGCGACGATCGTTCAGAAGTGAATCGGACTGACGAACCAATGATTCCGGGCAGCATAGCCAGTGGAAGTTTGCAGCCGGATCCCCAACCACATATCCATACTCCTTCTCCTCCTCCTCCTCCTGTGATCGAAGTGGAAGATTACGAAGACTGGTTGCGATCAATCGTATCTGAGATAGGTATACGTCTCGAATTTCTATACGACTCAGAGACGCATCTGGAATTTGTCAACCATCCTTCTCCGAACCTACCTTTTGTCTCTCCAGATCCAGAAACCTTACTACAGGTCAACTTTGGAGATTTCGGTCTAAAAACAACCAGCAGCTGCAACATGCGATTTTTGGAGACCGAGACAAGATTCTGTGGGCTACTCAACCATATTCAGGCCCTTCCACCGGGAGCACGTTCAATAGGAGAATTGGATGTGGAGAATGAACTGTACACGGCATTAGATAGGGTTCATCGCTTCAAAGGTAGACAGTGGAGTTTGCAAGCATATCCCAATGGACTTGGAGGAGTCACCATTAACAATAGTATGTGAATTTTCATGGACATTTTCATTCGTATCTAACCCTATTATTAGCTCGTCATTTCACAGTGCTCAGAGCAAACCCTGATATAGCGCCAATTTTCATAGCTGCTCTAATAATATATATCAAATTTCAGACACCTGTCCGTCAGATGCGAGTCATTCTGGCGTTGTTACGCTGTATCGTCAGAGCATTGAAGAAAAGAAGCGAATCTCATCCACCGTCGCAGATTCCTTCGCGGATTCCAAAGGATATTCACACCATCGTCGATTGCTATGACCTTGATCCCACCTTGCACGCCTTCGTAGCATGCCCAAATTGTTATGCACTGTCTCCTCTGACAGACCAAGAACTCAAAACCGCGGAGAGTCTCCACCAAGCAAACCAACCTCTTCCTGTGTGCGACGAGAAGTCTCATCCAGACTCAGTACCGTGTGGAACTACTCTGTGGAGAACCCGCCGTATTGATCGACGAACGTTTGTTACTCCTATACGAAAACAGGTGTTTCAGGATTTGAAGGAATGGATTGGAAGAATTTTGGCTACTCCGGGAATCGAAGATGCGATAGCTCAACATCAACAGAGTCCGTCTCCTGCAGATGGTGATCCAGAAAGAGATTTTGTGGATTCCAAAACGTTCCGTCAATTCAAGGGCGCGGATGGCCAGCCATATGCAATACCTCAGACGGGCCCTTCTGGATCGCCGGACCTGCGACTCATGACAAGCCTTGGCTTTGATGCTTTCAATCCGTTCCACTCCAAAACGGCACATGCTATCGTCCAATCCACAGCTTTATACATGGTCATTCTATCTTTGCCAGAACACCTTCGATATCGACCCGAGAACATGTTTCTACTCACTGTCATGACCGGAAAACCTAGCCAGCATCAGATAAACTTCACTCTACGCAAGCTGGTGAAGCAACTACTTCCTTTTTGGGAAGGAGTATTCTACGTACGCACCGCGCGCTATTTTCTGGGGCGAAGAGTCTTCATAGCGCTCATTCCTGCCGTATGTGACACCGAAGGCGCACATCAGCTTTCGGGATTTGCTTCACATAGCCATACATACTTCTGCCGACGATGCCTATTACAAATTGGCGACATTCACAACCTTGTTCCCGAAACATGGCTAATGCGGGACTCTGCTCAGCATAGAGAGTTAGCTCTAAAATGGAAAGAGGCCTCAACGGAAGAAGAACGCCAGAAAATTTATGACGAGTATGGTATCCGGTGGTCGGAGCTCTTAGAGCTACCGTACTGGGATCCCGTTCTTTTCACCATCATCGACGACATGCATTTTGCGCAACTCGGCCTGTTCGAAACTCATCTCCGTGACATATGGCAAATTGACCACAAAAGTGTCGGCGGTGATGGTCTTTATCCAGAAGTTAAAGACCAATGGAAACTGTGCAATGCCAGTTTGCGCAATCTCCTGAACGAAATCCGGGAAAATCGACCATCCTTACAGACTCGCTTGCAGGAACAAAAGAAAAGAACCCTGTGGTATGTTTGCTTTAAGCTCGGGTTACGTACAGGGGTTCGCAAGAAGAAATCTTTGGTAGACCAGATTTTGACATGGGTAGGTCTCGCGTTGATTATCCTCTTCGTCTTAATCATGTTACTACTGTCTAGCGTTTGAATTTTGGACGTGACAAGGTCCCTGAAGTTCCTCCTTTGAACTACAACGATATACCGGATGCCTGGGAAGGCGACGACTTTGGAGAGAATGTGCATCTTCATCTGCCTTTGTTTCACAATCAATTGATCTTCTAATATAGGATTCCGATGCCATTTCGGATTCTGGGGTTTCTGACGCCGTATGTTCCGCCTTGTTTTACGAATGCCCTCACGAATTAATTTGAGAAGTCGTTTGGTTCAAGAGCTTCATCGGCACCATCAGTGATGCGTCCTGCACCGAATTTCGCCTTCACCAGAGACACAGCTTTCGAGAACCTCAAATCAAAAATACTCAATTTTTCAGGCAAACCCCCTTCGCTTGGCAAGCCAAAACTTCAAACTCTCAAAGCACTATGTCAAGATCTGGGCATCCATTACAATTCGATTGATAGCAAACGAATTCTTGCTGCACGAATCATGGAATACGTATGTCTTTCTTTGAGCTATCGATGAACTCCTCTGATGATGATGAGACAGCGTAAAGAAAATGGGTCCAATGATCCTGTCTTGATTTTGAAATTCGACCAGCTGCTTTACGATAAGATAAAGGCAAAGTTTGAAGCAGAGGAACCCTCGAGAACTACGTTATTGAACTACGAGCACAACTATCTCGAGCTTTTATGTCAAGACTATAAAATCCCACCATTTGATACTTCTGATACGCCTCGAATGCCCAAGGATGATATGGGACGGAGATTACTACTTTGGGTGAGCCACAGTACCTTCATTTCACATAAGATTGGCCTGTTAATTGTTCTCAGCATCAGGAGTACAGGGACAGTCCCCTGAAACAGTCCCTACCCCGCCATGTTATTGGTAAGGACCTGCTGGAGGAGATTTGGGCGGATATGAAACGAACTGTTTTGCCTACTTGGATTCAATCACCGCCTCCAAATTGGGGTACTCCTGCACAAGGCAAGCTTAGCGCTGATGAGTATAAGGTCGTATGCTCAATCTCACTGGTCATTACACTGATCCGGGTATGGGGATACGGAACCGAAGATCCTCAGTCCCGTCGCTTCCAGATGCTGTTGAACTATCTGGACCTTGTTCATGCAATCCATGTCCTTTTGCTCCGTGAAACATCTCGGAAGTCAAGGGACTATTACAGAGCTCATATTCAGAGATATTTAGAGACTGTCCTGGTGTTATATCCCGATTTCACACTGAAACCAAACCACCACTTCTCACTCCATGTTCTCACTGACCTGGAAACCATGGGCCCAGGTCATGCTCGGAGTACGCCAGTGTTTGAGCGAATCAACCATTCCTTACAGGAACTTAATGCGAACCAACATTTAGGTGAATTTTTACTGTTTATCATCAATGTTGTACTGACGGTATATTTCAGGTGAAATTGAAGCTACCATGTTGACCGCCTATTGCCGGCAAGCTAACCTGCAAGTGATCTTGAATCACAATGCCGATGTACGACAAGACATCGATGAAGCTATTGAAGCTCTGAAAAACATCGAACGTGAGGATCATCGCGGTATGTTCCCTGGAACGGACCACTCGGTTTGGTCAAGCACTGAGTTCAAAGCAACTGCCTTTTGGATCAGACATTCCACTCTGGATCGTATCACACATTACCTATGTGGGATATATGACCTACCTCACTCTCATTGGAGTTCCAAACTCACTCGCCAGGCTGTAAGACCTGGGTCAAAATAGGTCTTAGGGTAGGTTTTGGTATGCGGAGGTTTATGTTGTAGCGTGCTAGGAGCAGGCTGGAGCTCGAAGGGAGCTACGAGAACCGCGACCGAGGACGGGAATGACCTAGTAGTGGTTGGAACGACGAGATGGTGACCCTTGAGGGGTTCCTAGGAGGTCCAGGGAGGTCCCTAATGCGTAGGGAGGTTCGGGACGAGTGCGGGACCGTAAGATATTGCGTAGTAGGAGTTGTACTCGCTAGAACGTCAATATAGAGTCGAGTAGGTAGTTTATGCAACGGGGTCTCGAGGGTGTAAGCTCCCGAGAAGGGATATGCCAGGGAGGGTAGGTCCCTGGGGGCTAGGTTGGAGGATGGTCGTCCTCGAGTGTGGGAGGTGGTAACGGAGAAGCAGTACGTAGTTCGTCGTGAGGGGTAGCTTCGACGTTACCTAGATCGAGGTCCCGAAGCTTACGAAGTAGCTAGGGAGCTCTGGGAGGTTTGGGGAAGAGTAGCTTTACCAAGCGGATAGGCGTTGGGGAGCTTTAGTAATGTTCGAGGGAGCTCGGGGACTCACTCGGAAGGCTTAGACTTGAAGTAAAAGCGTATATTCGATCGTACCGACGATCAGAGAGACAATAGACAGAAGTAGAGAGAAACAGAGGTAGAGAAACAGAGAGGAAAGAGAAATCCGTATGGTTAGCAGGTACAAAGGGACAGGGACTGGACCTATGCAAAAGGGTGTGTGTTCAAAATATACCAAGCTGGGGCTTCGGGACATTGAGGCGTTACTTAAATAGGTACGGGAAGTGAACAAGAGAACATCTGGAGGCATGAGGTAGCTAATCGGAGGGAGGGAGGTAATCGAGATTAATACTTAAAGGGGTTATCGGCTAGAGGGCTTTCGTACGCGTGTCGGGATGAAGGACGTTTGGGTAGTGGCGTCAGAAATACT